GCCCACAGCGCAGATTAATTTAAGCCGTTTTTGTATTGAAATTTCCGTCAAGGTTTAAGCGGGTTAAGTGCATTTAATAAATTAGGTTGATAGAAAAGCGTGCCGCTATTTACCTTAAGTATTCAGTGTCCGCACGTCGAAAAGACACGTTTCACATTAAGAACTGTATTGTGACACGCATGTGCGCATGTGTAGCAGCAGTGTCTTATAAATCCAAGCACACAAAGTTTTTATTTTTTATTTTTTTTGTAGAAATGTATTCCAATACTCTTCTTTCTGAATGGTGTAAAAAAAAACGTGATGAAAACACATTTAAAGCACAAGTAATGTAATTAATCTTTATCAACATTTCAGCAACTTGAAATCTTGATAAGCGAAAATGTTTACAAAAAGTTTATTTTTAAGCTGTGATTTATATGTAAATATATACATATATATTTCCCTTAGGAGTTTCATCTCACTTCGTGGTTTTCAAACGGGTGATTAAAGAAGCGTTTGATGAGCTTTCAACATGCAGGGAGCTAATAATAGGCTTCCCCGCTTTCTAAATGAGATTGCTGTAAGGCGATTCTTTGAGACAGAGACAAGTTCATCCTCGTTAAACCGAGACGCAAAGAGTTGACCCCTGTCCAGCGTCCTGATCCAGTCTCCCATGCACTAATGCTTTGTGGGACGATAAGGACCAGGGTGCACGGAAAACGGCTCTGCCGCGCCTTTTACACCATGAACGAGGGGAGAAACATGGTAGGAAGAGATTACGTGAGGTCGTTTTTACTTTTTCTTGCAGCTGATCTCCACCTGTAATCTTAATGCAAAAATCCGCATGAGAAATATAACTTCTTTTTTTGTTGCAAATTATTTTAGCTCTGAATCGCATCGTAACTGTCTTTGAATGTCAATTAAGAACTTTCCCTTTCCAGTCAATTAAATTAGATTAGTTTTGCGTCTCGGAACAATCTGACAGGATTATGTGAATTTTCCCCTGGCGTGTGCAGCAACGTGAGAGCGCTGTCCAACGTGCTGAAATGGACAGTGGCGCCGCTCAGCCCAAACTAAACACTGTCGACATTTGCGGTGTGAATCTCTAAAAAGCACATATTCTTATTTCAAAGTATTTACCCTTCAATGCCTCCATCTTTGATAGTCTTTGACTCTTACTTCCTCTGGTGCGAGTGACTCACGCACATGAGACAAGATGTTCGAAGGATTTTTCGGATCGCTCGATGCTCTTAAGTGATTAGAAGTTGTGCATTCACGTCATCACGCGCGCTAAGCTTTGCTTCGAGCGTAACACGCGTTTCCGTGAACACAGATTCAAGGGCTTACCAATGTTTGGTGTCGATCCACAGATAAACAAGTCAACCTTCACAAAAATCGAAGAAAACACAGAGAAGAAGAATTCGTCCGAGAAAGGGAGAGCAACGATCATCTTCTCCCTCAAAAATGAAGTGGGAGGACTGGTGAAGGCTCTCAAACTATTCCAAGTATGAGCGATTTAAAAAAAAATATATATATCTTTTTTCAATTTAGATCACTTTTTGAATAGTGTCAATTGGTTTTATGGTGTTGATGCAAAATGAATCAGTATGACATGCTTTTTTTTTTTTTTTTTTACTGTTTCTTGCAGGAAAACCATGTCAACCTCATACACATTGAGTCCAGAAAATCCAAAAGGCGCAACTCTGAGTTTGAAATTTTTGTGGACTGCGACAGCAACCACGAACAACTGAACGAAATCATCCATCTACTTCGGAAGCATGTGAATGTGGTGGACATGGACCCTCCAGATAACTCCTGTCTGCTTGAAGAAGGTAAGGACAAACGTATAAAGTGTGACAAGGTTTCTTTTTTGTTTTTTTGTAAATCAGTTTCAAGCTCATTAGAAATTAAACATCCTCCCAAATTATTTTCAGATATGTACGATGTACCTTGGTTTCCAAAGAAAATATCCGACTTGGACAAGTGTGCTAATCGTGTCCTGATGTATGGATCTGAGCTGGATGCCGACCATCCGGTACAGTATCAGACTACTGAATGGTTTTCAGAAGGTAAACCCCCCTACTAAGGCACATTCTTATAAAGCTATGCTTCTCATTTCCAGGGTTTTAAGGACAATGTCTACCGCAAAAGACGGAAGTATTTTGCTGATCTTGCCATGGCCCACAGACAGTAAGTTTCCATTTATTCAAACCGGTATTTTAAACGTATATACACCTTTCCCAGAACTTTGTGGGTAGTTACATAGGTTTACCTAACAGGTACTTTCATTGAACTTTTCCAAGTACTTTCACATAACTCATGTAAAACAGCCAACATAAACATTGGCTATTTTACATGACTTTATCAGATTCTTTCAAAAAACTAAGACAAGGTACTTCCCTGGAATGCTCATGAAATTTATTGTTTAATTTCCTGGAATTTAATGGACAATTTCAAGGAATTTCGAGCTTATTTACAATTTCCATTAAATTACGAAATTATGAAATTAAATGGAAATTCTTTGCACTTTCATGAAGCTTTGTATTGACTTTCCAGAACATGCCTCGGACTTTTCCAGACATTAGCAGATACTTTGATTAAACCTAAAGGTTTCTTTACAAAATTTCTGGAAAGCATTTGGTGGGTTGAGTAAAGCAAACAGTAAAAATTAACCAGTAAATTCCCTAAAAGTATCAGCATCAGTTTTTGGAAAGCCACATCAAAGTTCAGAGAAATCACGAGCTGCATTAGGCAGTGTTTTGTCCTTTTTCCTTTAATACTTACAGAACGTTGTGTTTTTCTCCAGTGGGGATCCCATCCCTCACATTGAGTTCACAGAGGAGGAAGTAAAGACTTGGGGTGTTGTGTACAGGGAGCTGAACAAGTTGTACCCCACCCACGCCTGCCGGGAATACTTGAAGAACCTGCCACTGCTGTCCAAATACTGTGAATGTCGGGAGGATAACATCCCTCAGCTGGAGGACGTCTCCCGTTTCCTCAAAGGTAATTTTCATCAAACCATCTTCAGTCAAACCTTAATGCTTCATTATTTACAGAAGTAATCACAAGCATTTCTTTTTCAGAACGAACTGGATTCACCATCAGACCTGTGGCAGGTTACCTGTCCCCACGGGACTTCCTCGCTGGTTTGGCCTTCCGGGTTTTCCACTGTACCCAGTATGTGCGGCACAGCTCTGACCCCCTGTACACGCCAGAACCGTGAGTAGATGCATCTGTTTGTTTGAAAGTAAATTGTCATTACAATGTGGGTGAATATTCTGTTACTTTTCATCATACAGGGACACATGCCATGAACTGCTGGGACATGTTCCGCTGCTAGCAGAACCCAGCTTCGCCCAGTTCTCTCAGGAGATTGGTCTTGCTTCACTCGGGGCCTCAGACGATTCTGTTCAGAAACTGGCCACAGTGAGTTTCCCGTCTTCAGTCGAACCTTATTAAATGTTCATTGTTAAATTCTGCCAACTCTGTTGTAACTTCTTATATTTTTCTATGTTTCAGTGCTACTTCTTCACAGTGGAGTTTGGCCTATGCAAACAAGAAGGGCAGCTGCGAGCATATGGAGCAGGGCTGCTGTCGTCAATCAGCGAGCTCAAGGTAGGAAACATTATGTCAAGATCATAAAGAGCGCAACCTTATTCAAAAACTTATTTCTGGCATCATTTGGTTAGAAAAGGTTTAAAATTTAACAAAATTACAACATGCAGTATTGTCCATTTGACAGTCTACGTTTGATAAACACAAGTAAAAGACATTTTTATTGAACATAATGGTCCAAATGCAAGCATTGACATAGTTTCAAGCATTTTCATCACATCCTTCTTTTTCTTATAGCATGCGCTCTCTGGAAATGCAAGGATAATGCCTTTTGACCCCAAAGTAACAAGCAAGCAGGAATGCATCATCACAACATTTCAGGATGTCTACTTTGTGTCAGACAGTTTTGAGGAAGCCAAAGTCAAGATGAGGTTTGTTCATTTGTTCTTGTTTTATAATATTCCATCCTGCTGAGGATAACAATGATCTTGGCATCTTTGCATATATCTAAGCATGCAAATTTTTTTTCCAGGGAGTTTGCCAAGACCATAAAGCGTCCCTTCACAGTTCGATACAACCCCTATACGCAGAGCGTAGACGTGCTGAAAGACACTCCCAGCATCAACAGTGTGGTGGAGGAGCTCCGACACGAGCTTGATATCGTGGGCGACGCCCTCAGCAGGCTCAACAAGCAGCTGGGCGTCTGACTGAACGATGTTCCACTGAAGTTAGCCGCCTCTGGCTCATCCACACTCACCATGTGACACCCAGCGCTGCTGTAGAGACGTCTGCTTGTGTTTTTGTGACTAAAATGAATGTGCATCACTTTATGGATAAATTCTCTGTTGTTCTCGGTGCATGGTGTATTGCTAAAACTATTTACAGGCAAATTAGATAGTCGTGTTTAATTTTTAAAGTCAGTAAGTTCCCAAAGAGCTGCTTTATCTGACGCACCAGTTATGCTTCCATTGTGTTGAAATCTGTATCGCAAACACTCGACGTACTTTAAAATTTTTTTTCAACATTTCCTGTTGTTAAAAAAACACTTAAACGGATTCTTCCTTTTTCAGTTTACTCTTACTGTTGTGTAACTGTTGATTTTTTGTAATTTATTTGTTTTTTTCTGCAGTGATCATCTGTATCTTGTTTTTGTTATTTTGCTCTCTGTGTCCTCTGTTCGGTGTGCTGTTTGAAGGAAATTATGAAAGATAAAACTTTAACTCACCAGTGTTATAAGAATGCTTTCATGATTGATTATAACAGATTAACCTGTGTACACAGCTTGTTTTACAGTAATGATTTTGAATACTTCTTCCAAAAGTGACTACAGTTGTCATAGTCTGGAAATCCAAAAATTATTTTTCTACTGTAAAGAATTATAGTGAATAGGTGTATAAAACTGAAAAAAACCTTCAAAAAAAAGTTGGATTGTGTCCTAAAATACTTTTTTAAAATTGAAATCCAGTGCTGTAGACATATTTATTCTTTTAACAGCATTAAAGTTAAATAAATCAAAACCTAATCTAATCTATTTTTTCCTCACCCATCCTCACGATCAGTTTTCAGGAGATCCCCAAGGAATAAAGTCAAATAATTTGAGATAGTTTTGTTTGTCAGTCTTTAGTAATATCTTCTCTCCAATCCCTGGTGTCCTCGACTATCAAAAACCTTCCTAAATCCTATCAGATTATTTAACTGATAACATTTTGGAGCGGTTGTAGATTATGAGAATAAGTGATTGCATATTAGGTCCCCATATATAGTATCAATAATAAGTGTATCTAAACAGAAATACAGAAATAGATAAACTCTTAATCATAGATAAAGGGAACATTTGAACTCCTTATTTGTATATTACGTGACTTGTTCAGAGCGTGCCTGGAAATTGCGACAGTGCCGTAAACCATGTCCGGTTTCCAGCTGGGTGTTCCATGGAAACACATTCACGTCTTACGTTTTGTTTATATGCCTGGGTAAGTTTGTTCTCCTTACAAATAAACGGTTTAACTTGTGTTTGTCAGGTCGTGTGCTTATGTCAAATAAAGTACTCACTTCCGCAGAGTGACGTGGCACCTTAATGATTATATTTTTAAAACTTTTGCTAAGGTTAGCCTAACTAGCTCACAGTTTACTTGCACCAACCACCCAAACAGACGCCGTGTATGGATAATTGGAGGATATTTGACAATACAAATTGTTTGACTGCTCTGTTTAATGTGTTTTATATATGTGTTGTTGGCTTCAGGGAGCCAACAGCTACGGTCAGCTGGGACAGAGCCATGTGGACGACCAGTGCGTACCGTGGCTCTCTGTCAGCTCGGCTCTGCAGGACAGGACGGTCCGGGTTGTGGACGGAGGAGGGGGTCATTCTGTGGTTCTCACCGGTGAGATTCTGTTTGTTTTCCCAGAACTCTCTTAAACCACTGACAGTACCGAGTTGTGTGAGGAAAACTCTTTATGAGGTTAAATGGAGCCCTCTGCTGGATGAATAATTAAACTGCAGCTTTTTAAAAAAAAAGCTGTTAAATCATTAAATCATAAAGGGAAGGAAAAACTTGTTACTCTTTATGATGCCTTTATATTACACTCTCCAAAACTGCTATGCTCTTATTGAGAAATTCAGTTAAAGCATAATATGTCTTGAATCTTTTAAGTTACTTTTCCGTATGATTAAATTACATCATAACTCAAAATTATGTCTATTTAATTTTCTTTTTTATTGGACTTGATCCAACCCCAAAAGACATGGAACTCATGTTAGACTTGTGACCAGAAATTTAAAACTTAACTTTCACTTGCAGCCTCTCAAACCTCTCAAAAGGTTTGAGATTGTGAACCAAATAGAAAGTATGTTTTTAAGATGTGACTTTTACACACCCTCTGAATCACCAAACATTATGAATTTACTGCTTGATAATGCTAATGACCCAGTACCTCAGCTCTTAATGAAACAAGGTCTTGTCTCAGTAAGAAACTGATGAGATGGTGCTGTATAAAAGGGTAAACACTACTAAGTTAATGTTTACTTTAAAATGCAGCTTCAACATTTGCTGGTCATAGCACTGGCTGCATGTTTTAACGAAATAATAAATCCATCTTCTAAGAAACATACATATATTTTGAAAATGGTTTACTGTTGCTCTGATGGTAAATAACATATTCAATTTATTCAAAGCTCCTCTGTTTTTACTTCAGATTTCACATGAGATGAAGGAGTTAAGACTTAATGCTAAGCTGGTTCCACCTGAGTGATAAATTTAAACAAGGATTCACATTTTGAACAACAAATTAAACAATGTGTGGGTTGTTCTCCCTAAGATTTTTTTGTTTTTTTTGTTAAGTAGAGAGTGGAGAGGTGTTTGTTTGTGGCCAGAATCACAGAGGCCAGCTGGGACTTGGTCACAGTACTGACGTCTCAACTCTTCAGCTCTGCCCCGTCTTGAATCACAGAGTCGCAAATGTAGCCTGCGGCTGGGATTTTACACTTCTTCTCACAGGTGAGCAGAAAATGCTACTCTTAACAGCAAATAGTTCTTTTAACATTTGATGATAGATCTGTTTACTCATGTAACTGCATGAATATTCTTGCCAAATTCACAGAGAATCGATTGACATAGTATTATTCATACTGTAGTGTTACTAAAATAAGGTTATTTTAACCACGGCTATGTTGACTTTTTTCTGTAAAAGACAGAAAATGTTTGTTTTAAAGATTGAATCAAGCAGGAAACATGAAGACATATCTATCTCATCTCTTAAAATAAAGACAAATTCATGAAACATGGCTACTCTGTCTGCAGGTTGAAACTGAAGCAGAGCTAAAAAACACTGGGTGTTAAATCAGCATTTCCATATTTCAGTGATATTTAACTGAATTAGCTACTAGTTCTTTAGCACTGATGTTGTGTTAAATACCAACATGACTGACATTAGGGTCACAGGTAAACCAGTTGCTTTCCTTTCCTCTACGGCCAAGTTCAGGATTTTATATTGTTGTTTTCATATTTTACTCTTCTTTGTAACATTTTGTCTGCTAAATAGAAATCTTTGATGTTTTTTGCCATTACACTGGTTACTGGATTGACTTTTCTTCCTCCAAGCTAAACAAAATGCTGCAGGCCGACCGCTTACATAATTTAATAAGCTAGCTCACGATGCTCATATGTTAAACTGGGTATTTTGGCTACAAGTATATTTTAAGATACATTTAAATAAATTTCCATTGTAGATTCTTTTAGCAACCAGATAAAACCTTTTTTGCTTATTCAGAATGTCTATATTTTATTGACTGGGACTTTCATTCCGTCTCTGCAGAGATTTGTGACTGTATGTCTGTCAAAACATACATCTGTTGTGCTTCCTTGCCTACTTTTTTTTAATTATTTTTCCATTGTTTCTTTTTTTTTCTTCTCCCTGACAGATTCTGGTCAACTACTTGCATGTGGTTCTAATGCATTTGGACAGTTGGGTGTTGGACAGACAGTCACACACTCTGCTGAGCTTCTAGCTGTTGAGGTGAGTACATACCAGTGTGTTTTATTTTTACATGTATCTAATTAAGTTAGAAGTTTAGTAAAAAAAAAAAAAAAACATGTATTTCTGTGTGTAATAAATGTATAAAAAAATATGACATGCTATGTGTACTTCACATGAGATGTACATATACATAATTTCTGCCTGTTTTAGAGTTTTACAAACAGCACTTCCTCTTTTTCTGACCTAATTATTATTGTGATGTTTGTTTTCAGACTCTTAAAGAGCCAGTAGTGAGTGTAGCAGCAGGACTCAGACACTCACTCGCCGTTAGTGGTAAGATATTCCCACATGCTGTCTGTTTTGTTTTTCCTGAATTCTAGTTTAACAGTAAAGCCTAGAATTCAGTTTTGCTGTTTAACCGTCAGCCTCGGACTCCGTGTATCAGTGGGGAACCGGTCTTTTTAGCCATGCTAAGAGAGCGCTCAGTCCCCACCCTGCTCCATCACATCTGAACTCCAAACTTCCCTGTCCGGTACCAGGTAACCTGCACTAAGCTGAAAAAGCAGCAGTGGTGGAATGAATCATTTTTGTGTGACACGTGTTTGTGCCCGACACTGCAGGTCTCGGCCAGAGGAAAGCACGGCTTGTAACAGCAGGTTCAGCACACTGTGTGTGTTTAACAGGTAGGGAACAAGGAATCTGTGCCAAGCAGTAACCAAAAAATGATTAACGTTTTGAATGGTTAAGTACTGTAGCGTTGGTTTGAATGTGTAAATTTGTTTTTCAGCTCTTAAAACACAAAATCTCAGCCGCTCTCAGATCCCCAGGAAAGTCATTTCACATGTCAGAGTTTTTTGTTGTTGCTTAAAATTAATAAAATACCTACATCTGCTGATCTGGGGTTCTGGAAATTAAAAAGTAGTTATAAAAAGCATGAGAGCGACTTTTTATAACACAGTAAGCGACTATTAAAATCAATGAGAAAATCAAAGTGGAATGAGAGCTCTGTGAGTTTTATATGAATTACAGTGATGCACCATGATTTTTTTATTTTAAAGACTAGAAGAAAGAGTTTTACAATATTTTTCCTGCAGATCATAAAAATCTCTGAATTGGCTTGGGAGAGAAAGACATTTTATTAATGTTCTTTATGTAAAGGAATTCTGTCTTAGCTTCAGTTCTGAGGTTTGAATCATAAATAGCAGCATAGTTCATCAAAACTTTCAGTAAGTATAATGCCATTTCATTTAATTTAGTATAAAGTTTATCTCATTCATGACAGGATGTGTGTGACTTTGTTCTCATATGCCGAGTCTGACCTCGCATCTGTCCTGGAGTTAGTTGACAAATGACTCACTTACTGCTCTGCCTTTGTATTTTTTTTTTGTTTTGTTTTTTTGCAGAAGAAGGTGAATTATTCCTGTGGGGAAGCAATAAACATGGCCAGCTGGCTACAGCGGAGCCCTTTCTGCCCTCTCCCAGTCTGCTGAATCGATCTCTGCTGAAGGGAGAGAAGGTTATGGGTGTGTGCAGCGGCTGGACGCACGTTGTTGCTCAGACAGGTACAAAAGGTGTAGAAGCTCAGCTTGTGACTGAGATACTCACCAGGAACAGGATAGCTTGGAGACCTGCTATGTTTTAGCTACAGTCATGTGGAGAAAAAAAATGGGACACTCCCATTAAATATTCACTTCACATATCAAAGTCTTATCTCATTTCTTTTCTCTCTGGGAAAGAAAGGGATTTAATTATAGATATACGCCAGAAAAACCAACCCTGTTTTAATCAGTAGACAAAAGATATGAACAATAAAGAGTTTTCAAGCCCAGGAAGTAATTAGGATACCCTACTTCCTGATGGCCGGTGCTTTAAGTTTGATCAACTTTGAGATGTTTGCAGGGTTTCTTGAATGTTCAGAACGTTTCAAGTCATCAGCACCTTAAAAGGATACAAATCAGAGATTTTCATTGCATTTCAGATAAAAGATAAGTAAAATATTAATTTACTTCGCAGAGAGTGGCAGAGTATTCACATGGGGGAGAGGAGATTATGGACAGCTTGGTCGATCAGCCTCGGTCAGTGAGAATGCCGAGACGTCGATGGGAATCAGGAAGGATTGCATCCCTGTTGAAGTTACATCCCTCCACGGAGCAACTCAGGTGAGATACAGTCTGCAGCATCAAATTGACTTTGCATCTCCCTAAATGACCTAAATTTACGACTCCGTCGTTGAGAGTCTCGGTTTTAGATCAGATTCAATAAATTAGATTTGAAATGTCAACAGCCGTCCAGCAGGGGGAACCAGACGACCAAAGAGAAATCAGTCGCTGTCGTTAATGTCAAGGGAAAATTCATAGTGATATCGAGCATAGAAAAGATGGAGGTCATTATTTATGCATCGGGAGGAGGACAACTGCTTGATGAAGGCAGACTTCTCCTCTCCCATAAGAGTAGTTGATGGTGAGGATCAGGGCTGCAGCAGTTATCCTGTGGTCTGAATGGCTGCCGGAAGGCTTTGTCAATAAAGTTAATGTCAGGGACGAGCAAGGGTAAGTGCTTGATCCTTCCTCCACCGAGTACAGATCGTTGCAGCTGCACTGACCCGTGCCAAACAGGGATTACCTTTTGTGTGTCTCTGTTTATGTGCATAATGAAAAGCGAGATGAAATAGCGGAGTGACCCGTAAATCTTTTATCCTCGCCTCCCCATTTTAAGCCCTTTAAATACTGAAGAACTGAGTTATGAGACACAAAAACTTACAAGGAGGAGCAAATTGCTCAGGAATCAATATTTGTTTTTATGTGTTGCCTGAGGTGTAGATTTTATCCAAAACAGAGGCCTGTCAATGCAGTTCAGCCTCTGGTACAAACACAGGACTGTATCAGCAGCGCAGCATTAGGTAATTACCATATAAATATAAATATCTTTAACACATTTCTCCAACAGTCAGCGCCGTGAATAGGGAGGAGAGAAAAAAGGTGTTAGATCTGCAAAGGTTTGGATTCAGCAGTATAGCTATGAAATGACAGCATTAACTCCTTATTCTACTGTGATGAAGGTTATCAGGCTAATCTTTCCATTACAATTGTTTTATAACATAAAACGCAAAACTGTTTATAAATTCAACATATCTAAAAAAAAAAAACAATTAACTTTTTCAGTTTTTGTTGCTTGTATTTCCATGCATCCAACTTAGCACAGTGGCTCTGGATATTTCTGTGGTTTCGGTAAAGCTGGATTAATTTGAACAATTTATAAAACTTTGGGCTTTTGAAGATTTATTTTTTGAAAAATCAGATTTTTTTTTCCCCCACCAATGTTCCACCTATTTTTTAAATGATTTGCTTTTATTGTGGATTTCAAAATAGTTGACTTAAGGTAGCACAGATGCCAAAGAAGCAGTGAAATGGCCGTATAGATCGCTCCAATAATAGAAAGCCACTTTCTGCTTTGTGATCTGTGGAATCTGCAGATAATGTTACAATACAAGCAAAATGTTCTCTTGCTGCCAAAAATTTCCCACTCACTAACAGCTGGCATGAAGAAGAGATAGTCGGTGATAATATTATCTGCACCTGGTTTTAACGTTAAACCTGACCTGTGTCTGTTTTAACTGTAATCATTTTTTCTTTACAGATTGTATGTGGATCTGAACACAACCTTGCCATTGTAGGTGAGCATGTTCTCATTCAAATAGTTCAGATTTTTCTGAAATTTTTGTTCTGTAAAACAGTTTTTTTACAACTGTGCTGGAAACTTTAAAGGAAAGGATTAACTATAGCAGACTGAGAACATTTATGATGATTATAACCATATAAATGACCATTTATGTGGTCATTTATCAAAAGAGGAAATGAGGGTGGATATTTCAGTAAGACAGTGATCACTACAAAACTATATCTTATAGTTTTGTCCAATATTATAAGATTAATATCTTATAATATTGGAAAATGTCTTGTATTCCAATATTTCCAATGGTACTTTTTCATCTTTATTAAAACAAGCTCATATTTCTTGCTGAAAAGTTACTTGTAGGTTAGTTTGTCCTATTTCAAGTATACTAAAATATTTGCACTACAAATGCCGTATAGAATGGCCTAAACTCTCGACTTGAATACGATTATATTATTATAACCAACAAAGGCCTTCCTACCAAGAATACATTTCATTCCCTGTGCCATTCCACAGTATTACACAGAACCTAATTTATGGATTTATTGGTGATTTTTTTTATATATGTGGATTCCTTCAGATGTTGGCAACATGTGGTATGAACATGGTTGGAAAGAAAAACATTGACATGTTCAGTTCTCATTTTCAACATTGTAAATCATCAGGTTGCAGACACCGAGCCTCATTCTGTCAAGGATTTGAACGATGACGTGCAGCCCTGCTGTAAATACCATTTTGTGTCTAAATGACTGAAAGCCGGCACTTTAACAGATTCACAAAGCCATTAAAGTTGCGTATCTCATGTCAGAAAAGAGCTTTATTGGTTTCTGTGGCTGAAACACGAGACGTCTCTGCTGAACTGACATGACTGCATAACGGATAACGTAGACACAAAGGTGAGCAGGACCTTTTCCGACCCATTCTTTCTGCGGCATTAAAGAATTAGTATGAGACCTACCTAATACTTTAGAGTCAAACAGCAGTGTAAAAAAAAATAATCTTGGTAAAGCAGCAGAGATTTTTTGGGGTCAGTACTTTGCTTCGTGGCCTTTCATCAAGAAGTAATTACAGGATAGATAGACGGATATCATTGACAGAGGCAATTACCCAAACAGGCCTAACAGGAATGATATTAACCACACTCACACACGCACACACACACACACACACACATTTACAGGCAAATGTTATGAGAGCAATTTCCTTCAGTCCACATAAATGAATGTAAACAAAAACAGCCTCTTGTAACCACTAATTAAAAAAAAAAACACCGTGACGTTCAAATGAAATTAAAATTGGGACTTTTGGACCAGCAGTCTAGTCCTTTTTCTTCAGGTAAGACGTTTCTGATGCTGTTTTTGGTTCAGGAGTGTCTTAAAAGAAGGAATGTAACATTTGCAGCTCTGGTCCTTCCGTCTGTGTGCTGTGGCTCCTGAAGCTGTGACGCCAGCTGCAGTCCACGCCTTGTAAATCTCCCCCGAACTCCTGAATTGGCCGTGCTTCACAATCCTCTTAGGGCTGCGGTTTTCTCTGTCGCTTGTTCTCATTTCTCTACCACAGTCTTTCCTTCCACTAAACCTTTAACAGGAGCTTCTGTAGGAGTGACCTTTTGTGGCTAACCCTACTTTTTAATGGAAATAACATTAATTCCTGTGACAAAAATCTGCTTTTTACTTTTATTTTTTTTTCTCATAAACTGAATCTTGGGTTAAACATTAAACTGGAATCTGCAATCATCAACATTAGCAAAAAAACAAACAATCTGTGTATTGAATCTTCACATTTTTAATTGAATCACTTGCATAAATGAACTTTTTAAAGACACTTTGATGCCCCTGTGTTGTACATGCTTCACAAACCTCCCCTACTTTGCCATAGTTTCAGCAAGCAATAAGAAACATTTTGGCTGTAAAATCCTTCACATTAAATTTTGAACACTGACCCAGTTTTTTTTTTTTTTTACATCAGCATGAATAAAAATACCACAGAACAACTCAGAAATGGAGCTACAAGATTCCATTAGAAAGGAGACTTGAACGTTGCCGCTGCTGCTGCAAACATCCATGCGACCAGCCGTCAGTTTTCTCACCAAATGTAAAAATAAGAAGCATGGGCGAGCTTTAGCACATTGTTACGGCTGTTCATAGTAATCATCGATGTGAGAAAGTTCTGCTCTGCACTTTCTGAAGCTCTTTCAGAGGGATGAGAAAGCATAACATGTAGAAGAAGAGCTTGTGTGAACCTCCGACTCTTCGTGATCTTTTTTTTCTTCCTTCTTCTTCTTCTTCTTCTTCCTCCTGTCTTGAGCGTGGTGGCAGGAGAAATGCAATAGCAAAACAGGATTGGAAGCCCAGACCTGAGTGCTGCTATTTCTGGTGCTGAAGTAGGTCAGGCGGAAGAGAATAGAGAGCATTGCACGCTGTTTGTATCTGTTGCCTGCTCAAGCCCATGCCCATTTGCACCTGAGCGAGAGGTCGTCAAGTATGAATTTCGTCATCGTTGGTCAGAGGTTGGCGATAGGCCAAAGACTCTGTGGGCACAGCTCATCCAATCTGAGGAAAAATTTCAATGATTACCTAAGCTTAACATGACTACTTTAGGACAAGCATCTTATATTAGATATTCTATATATTTACCTCTATGGACTCATGCAGGTTTGGCTAGAAAAGGTGCAGCTGTGGTGCTGTGTCACAGCTAAATTTTTAAACTGCCAAAAATGAAAACCAGTGGCCAGATTTGTTCACTTGGAAGTGGCTCACGGTTTGAGTTTTGTATATATATATATATATATATATATATATATTTTTTTTTATTATGCTGCGCAGAATACTGTGCAGACACGACACTTCGTTGCCATGGAAACACTGATGTGCTGTCCTCTCGTCAGCGAGTCCATGAATTAAGCAGCGAGATGAGGCTTTGTTTTCCTCACTGTGACACTTCAACACATGACGTCCCCTAATACATCGCCTTCAGCGCCTACAAACTCTAAAACATGCTAAGTGCGCTCTACTTATGCATCCATGCACCGACTTAAAGACACGACTACAAGTGCTTCTGCAGCCGTGTTTGGCAGAGTGTCACACTGACATAAGCTGCTGGCGAGTTATCCTGCCCTGTTAACTGGTCAAAGCACAATGCGCCTGTTAGGAAAAGCCACGTCTGATTCTTCAGAGACGAAACACAGAAGGACGAAGAGACCAGTCGACGGAACAAATGGAAAACATGGCGTGAAAGACACACACACACACACAACTGCAGCGAACGGCAAGCGCTCCAAGACGTGCCACCCTTGAGAAAGCAAGCTCGCTTCTGTTGCCACGACAACGGAACCTATTAGGTAACTGTGTTGCCATGGCACGTGTCTCCTCGGTGATGCAGACCTGACCACACCCACTGATGAGCTCTCCAGCTGTGAAGAGCAAGGGAGGCTTTTATTGCAGACCAAGTGTCAGCGTTTGGAGATCAGAGAATCTGTGTGTGTGTGTGATGTGTGTTTCTCTTTGTGTAGCCCGCCTGTTTTTTAATTCCCTGTAGGTGTCTAATTTTAGCCTTTCCCCTCTGTGTCCTCCTGTCACTGACCAAACGCGGCTCTCTCTCTGTTTTCAGGGGGGTGCCTCCTGTCGTGGGGCTGGAACGAGCACGGGATGTGTGGGGACGGTTCGCAGGCTGACGTCTTTCATCCTCGGCTCGTTTCTGATCTCAGGCCTGTTCTCATTGGCTGTGGTGCTGGACACTCAATGGCAGTGTGTGGCGTGACGGCTAGTTTAACGCAGAACTCTGTCCACACTTGGGAAGAACTGGAGCACAAGCAAAGATCCCCTTTCACTGAGTTTAAAAAAAAAAAAACTACCTCAGCTACTTGATAAAGTTTTCATTGTTGGTGCAGCTAAACACGGTGTTTTACAGTGTGGAAGACGCTGTAATTTTTGACGTTGATGAACAAATGTCAGTGTCTATGTTCATTTGTCATGTCAAAGCTGCTCTAAGTCATGCAGGAAGTTGACTATTCTGGTGGTTGTGTCACTCTGACCATGTTGCAGTGTTTTAGAGATAACTGACTGGTACAGATTTCAGTTTTTCTCTGAATTCTGACCTGCTAATTCAGATTTTTACCCTTTTTTTTAAACCAAATGATTGTAACCAGGGTTTCTACAGTCTTAAAAATTCATGAGCAGTCTTAAATGTAATTCTCAAAGTTAAGCACTGACCAGCTTAGGTAGCCTGGTGTCCTGCATGTTTCGAATGCATTTCCTAAGCATCGCATCAAAATCTAGAGGTGTCTGCTAATCACTCATTTATTTGGTTAAGATATCTTAAACCAGGAAGACATTTAAGGTCTTCAGGAAAACAGCCTTTTAGTTGTGACTTTGAATTTTGGTAAATTACCCACTATGAGAACATTCTGAATAAAAAAACAACAAATTTTAACACATTTTGGTCAGGAAAAACTTCATAAACAGGGATTTATGAAGAAGTTGGCAATTTGAATAGAGACACACTCAAAATTATTGATATGTACATTTTAATTATGTTAAATCTTTTTTTAGTCATCTGTTTGTTGATTTGCATTAGTGTATTAGTGGAAATTTGTGTTTTATTTATTTATTCTTTTTACTTCAGATGGCTAAAAAAAAAAATTAAAATAAATCAACACTCACTGAATACTGATTATTTCTGTGTTTTTTATTTATCACTATTTCTGTACAAGTCTGAACTGTATTGGTCAAAAAACACACAAAACAAAAATCCCTAAACAACAAACCGATAAAAACGATCACTGAACACCTCACTGAGATAAGTAGCCACAAAACGCATGGTGTTCAAAAACGCACACCCTAAGGTCTCACTAAGTCGCACACATGAGTTGCCATATTTGTCATGTTGGTTCTCTTTATACAATAACCATTGCTTTCTTTCCTTTCCTTTGTTTTCTCTGTTGTTAAACGTTGACCAACGTACTGTCCCCCTGTTTGTGCTCAGCCAGCCTGCAGCCTGCTATTTTTGGCAGATTCAACTGAATGCAGGCGGATCTCAAGAGGTTGTTGGCAGTGTGTTTGCAGTTGTTTGGTAAGAAGTTGGTCCCTTTTCACAAACTTTTTCCACATAAACATTGAATCGACCTTTTGTGCTCAAATGGTGGTCCTTTGAGTTTTTTTTATTTTATTTTTTTTATTTTTTTAAGAGGTATGCTCATTGCTTTACTGTGGAGGTTGATCCATACAGGGCTCCTTATTGCATCTGTCATTTTGAGCATTAGTTTCAATGGCTGGTGACTGTTAAATTAAAATGTGCATTAGGTAGTCATGCACTGTAATTCCCCTAAATGAGAAGAATAATTTGCATATTAGAGGCACTTGTCCACATTGATAACAGTTTGGCCTTTGTTGGTATTACATATTACTATCTGTATGCACATATGTGTACAAGAAACAAAAATAAATCTACATGATTGTCAATTAAATCACAGCTGCACTACATAACATTAACATGATGTCTGAAGTATGTGATGGCAAAGTCGTACATCCTACAGTGCCTTAAAAAAGTGTTTGCACTCCTTAAACGTTTTCATGTCATCTTACAACCACAAACATAAGTGGGTTTTTTTATATTAATGCAAATTTATCACCTAATTTTGAAGGGAAAGCAACATATTTTTAATGTACTATATGAATAAAAATTTGAAAAGTTTGGCATGAACTTGCACTTTACCTTACTCTGGTATCCCTAAATGGAATTGGCTGCGTCCAATTGCCTTCAGAAGCAAATAAATTATTCATACATAATTTTATTGCAGTATAAATAGAGCTTTGAAGGCCCCAAGGACTTTTTTAAAAAGCATCAGCAAACAAACATTAATATAAAGGCCAAGGAACCAGCTAGAAAGTTCACGGATGACGTTGTGGAGAAGCTTAAAGCAGAGTTAGGTTATAAAGTAAGGTTATAAGTCTAGTCTGTCATCTAAAATGGTAAAAAGTACGGCACAACTCCAAACTGAACAAAACACGGCTGCCCGGCTAAGCTGACAGGCCAAAAGAAAGAGCATTAATGAAAAAACCAAGAGGCCGGTGGCATCTCTGGAGGAGCTGCAGAGATCCACATCTCAGCTAAGGAATGTCTCGACAGAACAACTATTAAGTTTTCCTTTATTGAAGATTACCATGAAGAAAGGCACTGTTGAAATTAACAAGTTCTGTTTGCAGCTTGCTGTAAACCATGTTGGGGATAGATAAGACTCTATCAGGGATACCAAAAAGTAAAAACATTATTGTTGTAAAACTACTTAAATTTTCTTACAGTCAAGAGACTTTTTTTGTGTCAAAGAAATTAGCTGGGACCAGATGTTGCTCTCACTATGTGGGACATAAAACGGTTTTTCCACTTGTTGGATTAAGGTAGTCCGGTTTTAAAACTTGTTATGCTCCCAGTGTTTTTCTGTAAGGAGCAGGATGACAAAAAAGTTAAATATTCTGAACACTAATCACTTTAAAACAGTGACTAAATTTACTAACGCCTTACGAATTTATAATTTTGTTCAGAATTTTTCTCCGTATCGAAATCAAAGTAGTTACAGATAAAAAAGAGGCTGTATTCCTGTTGCAGTAATGATGTTGAATCACTTTTGCTATTTTGAAATTATTTGTTTATTGTGTCAAACACTAGGCATTTCCATAATAATGTACATTTTTGTGTGATACTGTAAAAGTGTTGTATTTTTATTCAAGATTGTGATATTGCAAGAATCTTTTAATGAGCAAATATGCAGAAAAAGGTTCTTTGGTAAGATGAGACCAAAACTGAAGCCCCTGGTTGTATTTAAAAAGCTGTTGCTGAAAATTAATACTGGAAAAAGCCATACACACACCTTATCCGCCGTGAAAGACGGTGGTGGCAGCATTATGGTGTGGGGATACATTAGTTTTTAGCAGGGGCAAAACTGGTCAGGATTAGTTTGGAAGTGCGGTGGAGGTTCACCTTCCAACAGAACGGCGATTCCAAACATAATTAAAATGGAATGGTTTCAATCACAGCACCTCGAGTTAGAATGGCCTAGTCAAAGTCTGGACTGTCTTTGTGTTTTCCACATAAAATACTATTTAGTTACAGTGTCGTTTCTGGTTGCAACAAGACAAAATGTGACGTTTAAAGGATGTGCATACTTTTTTAAGGCACTGCAAATAGGCTCTCTTTGTCCTTTAAACTAGTATAACTCTAATATCTTAAGTACTTTCAATTTGTTATGCCAGAGCTTGCAATCCTAAAGCGTCATTCTATTGAGGTTAAAGTGATGCTTTCTGAAACAAACAGTGGTTTCTTGTGAATATTATTTTTTGATGCCTGAAAATATATTGAAGAAATGTTAAAAATTCACTGGTGCAAAACAGTGCAAAAACCCTACAAAGACATGACCATGACAGTGCAAAGTTCATTATTTCTTTTCAACTGTTAAGTCTGGCTGACATGACAATTGATAGGTTGTTTTGTTTTTTTGTTTTTTTCTGACATGGGTGTGACTTAAATCTGGAGCAACATTTTTTTTTTTTCCTTTCAACAGAAGCAGCACACACATATTTGATGGTTGCTCAAAAACATTGGAACGCACAAATTCAGCACACACAAAGCATATTTACAGCACTGGCACACAGCGAAAAATAGGCACACAAATTACAACACAGTAACCAGTCACAGATACTGAGCTACATAAGGCTTGACAACAAAACTTCCTCAGTGCTACATCTATGCTGAGTTTGTGATGTACAGGTTGTCACTGTCACACCCATTTAAAAATACTAAGTTATACACACATAAAAAAAATGCTACAGCACTATCAAGTGGGTGATGGGTCATTATGGGTCATACACATAGTGGTTGGAACACCATGGTTCATAACACAAACTGACTCTGTTGGTTGTCTGCTCCGGTGCTGTCGTTGGTTCTCTATAAACATATAAAAAAAAAAAACAAAAAAAAAAACAATAACAAAAATAAATTATTACACAAATCTATTCAAAATGGTGGAAATGATGGCGATGATGGAGGGTAAAGAAAATGTGCTCCGTTAGTTCCTCATGGTAAACGATGGGTTTACCATGCGTTCCCATGCTTCAGCCAAGGCGTCAGACACCAAAACGGACCGTCTGAGTGCATCGGTTGGACTCTGGAGTCGGTTAATAATGAACATGCCCAATCATGCCACGTTCTACGGCTCGATGTAGAGTAGTTCGGTCACTGTCATGCGTTTGGGTATTTTCCATCATGCTCTCACAGTCACTCCATTTTTTTCTTTTTTTTTTTTGTCTTCATTTATTCATTTTCAGCTCTCTTTACACATAGAACATCAGTTGAAAACCTTAGCGGTAAAGCCAGTGGGAAAGGAAAGATGTACGTATGCATGTGCTGCTGAAGAAAAAAACAAAAAAAAAACAAAAAAAAAACAAAGTCTGAATGCTTGTTGTGTATAAAATTTATTTCATGCAACGACTTGTATTTACATGTTTTGTTTGAATGCTTTTCTTTTGCATAAATGTAAAATACATGCATTTACCTTTCCCCAAATAGACCCACATCATGTTTCCCCCTCCCCTGCATTTGAATTGCATGACCATAAAATTCACCTGCATCTCTTCACATCAAATCTACACAAATATTTTTTTCTTTTTTTTTTTAAGCATAGAACGTCCATCAATTACCACAAGAGACATGACTCGAAATGTGAAACAATGCTCAATTCAGAATAGAAACAAAAGTTGGATGACTTCTTAAAATTACCATACCTTCTTTTTTCTTACAGAAATAAACATTACTGACTGCTCTACATAGAATTTAATAAAGTGCCCTGAAAAGACTTGTGCATAAATGTTGGGACGGTATCAATACATGTGTGAGTATTGATCATTAGACAAACACACAGCAGGATTCCTTGTGATATCTGATTGCAACTTGAGACATTTTGACTCTGTAGAGCTGCTTGGTCCCCTTTTATGTTTGTGCTTTAATATACAAGATATGAGAAGTATAAAATCATTTTCTCCATCTTTTTTTCAGCTTGTCTTTTTTTTTTTTTTGCTTGGTGCTGAATGTTCAATTGTGATATCACTGGTGTGTAACAACAATAACCAAAGAGGACATTAATTTGATTCAGAGTATCAGGGTGGAGCTAAAAGTGCCTATTTAGGAAATAAAGTGGCATAATGATGCTACACTGGGAACATTTGTTTAATAAGGTGTCAATTTCTTACTGACTTTCTCTCTGCTTTACTTGATATGAAGGCACCATTGTTTTACAGGCACATCTTAATAAATACTTTTCAGTAATTGAATTCAAAAGTGAAATATATGTATATATCAATTACACACAGAACTATATCTTTAAAAGGATGTATTTAATTTCCTTTTTAATGAAATGAAATTTATATCTATTAAAAAACTAAGTTTAACTTTCTTAGAAAATCTGAATATCAAAAAAGACCAATAAAAAAATGACTTTTATAACTGCCTACTGAAAATACTTAACACTTTGGTTCCTTTTGCAGGAACGTCTGCATCGATGCAATGGGGCACGGAGGCGACCCACTGCAGAGGTAATAAGGAAACCCAGATGGCTTCAGTAGCATGTTGGGCCAGGCGTCTCTCACCAAAACACTTTTTGGTACCATTCACCACCATAACTAATCCCAACAACCTTTATTCAAAAACTGACTTGGGTCCATGCATTTAACCAAATACAACAAGTAGGGACCCATATCGTGCTCTTATTGCTAAGAATAGACTAAAATATTTTTATTACACCACAAATTGGGACATTGAATGACTTTATGTTTTAGGATTGCAATGCTCAACAGATTACTTCCTATAACATTCAAACTAATTTGTTCATTAAGTTAGGATATTGAATGTTTAATTTATTGCTGAGCAGGTAAATGTAACCCAATGTTTGATTTAGGATCGTTTTGCAAAAGATTTGCTCTGTGAGATTTAGATCTAGTGAATTTCCCGACAGATCCAGCACCACAGGTGCCGGAAAATGAAATATGCACTTCTTTAAAGCTTGTCAGCTGAAGGTAGCATGAGGTGCTCTAAATGTTCCTGGTAGAAAAATACTCTCACTTTGGACTCTATAAAACCCAGCAGATGACATGGCTCCCAAATCATCCCTGTCTGTTGTAAATATCCCTTTTAAATGGGTATTTAAGAAAACAGATGTTCTTTTCTGTCAACTTTTCTAATGCACAACCTTCTGTGAAGATCCAGCTTTTTTCTGTTGGCTTACTTTGCCTGAAATGTCTGTCTACTGTAAACAGTCCTTATAATAGTGAAGGACAAAACATGGCTCATTCTTCAATTTTTCTTTTTTATTGGTCTTATTTACAGAAATAAATGCTTGAAATATATAAATCTGGATGTAATTAGTCTATATAATACGAGTTTCACTTTTTGGCTTCAGTTAATAAAATAAATAACTAATTTATTGAGGTGCGCCCGTATATCTCATGAGTCCTGCATCAGGTCAAGCAGCACAGCAGTAACGGAAGTTGCTGAAGAGTATTTACAGAGTTTAAAAACCCTAAACTACCAGTAAACACTGTCATATAAAATAGCATTTGTTGGCTTTGTGACAAATTTGTTCAAGTTAGACAACTCTGTGTTAGTTGGAGACCCCGGTCAAATGACAAGGAAAATAAATGTATAAAGTTGGGGAAAGGCAAAGAATGGTGGCTACATAAAAATCTCTGCTATGACTGAGTCTCTTGTAAAGCTGTCTTGAAATGCATAAGAATGACAAAGCTTAGGAAGCTTTTAAATTCTTCTTTTTTTCTTTTTTTTTACAGTTACTGCATTACAATTAGCTTCTGGTTGAACATGATTCATCATGCAATTCATGCAAATTAACAGTTTTAATTCTGTTGACATTAAATGTATCCATCACTGGCATCAAAGGAATTGTCACAATCTCCATATTGCATTGGACATCGTGAACGTTGCGTTCAAATATGTATGTTTTTAATGGCCACTCAGTTAACATGGAGTCTCGTCTGGATTGCACTTCTGCATGAAAACGTCTCTACTTTGCAACACACAAAGCACTTGACAGTTGCCTTAACAGCCTTTGGATATGTTTCAAAGCAATGAGTTAATTTCCAGTAAACTATCAACAGGGGTTACATCTCATGAAAAAAAAAATATATATATATATTTTTACAAAAATTCAACAACAAAAAAATAAAAAGCAAATGAGATCAAACTTATTAGCAGAAGAGTATGAGAGATCAAAAGCAACAGAGCAACAGGCAATGATGTCAACACAGGAAAAAAAGGAGTTAGCCTGCAGTAGAACAGTGCTTCATCTGCAGCTCGGGTGACCCATGCAGAGTGGCATGTGCCAATGTTGACTACTTTAGGATATGATGACACACCCAAGTGTATCACTTGGGAAGCTTAAGTTTAAGCACAGTTAAGATACATTGTCCCAGGGAAAAGAAAAACCAAAGCAAACAAAAATGAGAAGAAAACAAAATCAGGAGTGAAGGCAGGAAGTGTCAAAGCAAAGTCTGACAGGAGAGATAAGAAGGTAGGATTGTGGACTGGCCCTTCCAATGGCATTGTGTCTGCTACTCAACCATGCTACATAATGGATGGGATGGGAGAATGTGAGTGCTGCATTAGACAGGGTGGGCTGCAGGGCAGGGCTGACACTGAGGACACTCCAGAGGCATCCCCGCTCATGCCAGACATGCTGTTAAGGCTCCAAGGCTTTTCATAACCTTCAGTTGGAAAACAGAGAACGTTCTGAGTACACTGCAGCACTGGATCCATGACAGAAGGTTTTCTTTTTATTTTTTTTTTATTTTTCTTTTTGGTATTCCTCACTTCTTACACTACACCTGTTGCTTTCTTGTTTTTGTCTCCAAAGAAACAGGTCAACACAGACTTAAGACAGGTTATTATTCTCCATGCATTGAGTGCATCAGGAGTACAACAGCATGCACCGGGTGGTACTGGAATGGTTTGGAGTAGAACACTGCAACAAGACAGAACAATAGGCACCGTGGGCAGGAGGTCTACGCTCGGCTACAAGCTGAATTTCATTCCGTGTGCCCGTTGCTGCACACAAACTTAGATCACCTTCAAGAGGAATGTTTTGAACTTTTTATCATTTAAAATAGAATTTTAAATTGTCTCAAGCTGTAATAATAATGATAATATTGATGATAATAATTCACTTTTCGTGTTGTGCTCCTTCACCATACTGATAGCACCCATCAGCAAGACACTTCATGCACCGTTATGGTCAAGAGGAATGTTCTTGTAAGTCAGAATCCCACACATTACTTATCATTAAAACACATAAACGTACATGATACACATGTAGCACGGAAAATACTCCCCTAGCCATATAAGACGACACATTCTAGATCATATAAATCTCAAAAATAGCTTTCTTACTAGTAAATAAATAGGGGTCTTACATTATGCATGGTATAAAAAATATATCTCATGTAGATGTGGATTATCCTTGATGTTTGTGGGGATTGTGCTTGTGTGTGGGTTGGCATTGTGTACAATCTCCAGCAGGATGACTGAGGAAAAGTGAGTGGTGACGTTTGCTGTGTGTGCGTGTGTGTGCGTGTCTGCATGTGTGTGTGGGTGTGTGCGTGTGTGTGTTTTGGATGTGCGTGGAAAAAGCTGATGCAAAAAAAGAGCATGTCATGTCTATTGCCTACAGGGTGTCAGTGTCTCGGGGGGGCCTGTGATTGGCTGTTGCTGTACGTACCCCTCCTCACTCTGCCCCCCGTGTGGTTGGGGTGTTCAGCCGTGGTGACCAAGAAGCAGGGCCGCTCTCGCTCGCTGGGGCTGAAGATCTCCTCCGGAGAAATGGCCTGGTCTATGTGCGGGCAGTCTTCATTGGCCAGTGCTGCGTTAGCTGCTTCGCCGTTCAGCTTGGAATCTTAAAATAATGAACAAAAGTTTTAAAACGGGAAGACGATGATGTTAAGGGCAACGTTGTTTTAGCTGTGACCTACTCAGGGTCCACATAGGAAATGACTGTAGAATAATGGTGTTAGTATACAGTGCCTTCCAAAGGGGTTTTTACCCTTTGAACTTTTCCTCATTTTGACAAATTGAGAACTTTTGTAATGTTTAGAAGTATTTTTGATAATAACCCAACACAAAGTAGCATGATGAATGAAAATCAAATTGTTTTTCCAATTGATGTTAAGATTTTAAATATAGAAAGTGTAACACGATTACTGTAGCACATGAAGATATCTGACCCTAAAACATTTCATTGAAACATTTCTTTGACTTGTCCATTTAGGACAAACTAAATTGTATTAAATTGAATTGAACTGAATCGTCCTGCTCGAAGGTGAAACTCTGCTCCACTCTCAAGCGTTTTGCAGCTGTTAATAGACTTTCATCCAGGATTGACCAGCTTACCAGTCCCTGAAAAAGAAGCATTGCAGCATCATGCTGCTGCCAACACCACATTTCGACATGTGAACACTGTTCATAGATTGTGTAAAGCAGGTAGTTTCCCCCTCAAAATAATAATAAAAAAAAACATTTTGGCAAATGAAAAACTAAATTTTGGTCTTATGTGAGGGGAACTCATTCAGTCACACATTTGCTGTGTCCTTTTTGCAAACTACAAACGGGACTTTTTACAGCTTCCTTTCAACAAAGACTCTCTTCTTTTTGCTTTCAGCTGGAGTGCATGTTCCTGGTAGGTTTGCAGTTGTACCAAACTCTTGGATACTTTTTAGAAGGAAAAAATATTCAGTTACTTCTTAAACCTAAACCAGCTTTAAACTTTTTAATCTGTCTGCTGTGTTACTCTCAAAACAATTGTATTTATACTTAAATTATACAAAGATGTACTCACTGAGATGATTGGTTTATTTTGCAGTTTCAGAGAAAAGGGTACTGAATATGTTTTGCACAAGAAACTTTCCTCTTTTTATTTGTAAATATTATTAGAAATCATAACTACCTTCCACTTTGCAGTAAATTTGTGTTTTTCTATCACATAAGAAACAAACAAAATACCTTAAAGCTTGTGGTGACAAAATGTGAGGCAAAAGTTCAAGGCGTCTTAAAACTTTTGTAAACAGCAGCTGCTGCCTGGTGTTTACTTTGAGCTGCAGATGTAATCCACCTCTGGCAAAGACCAATATATCTCCACGCTGATATTACCAGAGGGGCATTAAGTTGTTCCAGCATCTACTAATGGTTGTACTTAACATTGCAACTGCATCCTCTCAGTCTTAAGAGTCATGGAGTATGAGTCACTGCATTAGGAAGCGCAAAATCAATAGCAAGAATACTCAGGGTCTCTTTTTTTCTTTTATCAAAAGTCAAATGGGCTTTTTATTTCATACTGCATTCCACTGATTGTTTTCAGAATTGTGTTTTTTGTTTAGTCTCATGTCTGAGTCAGCAGCTGACTGAAGTACACGATCAGACGGCAAAGCTGCTAACTAGTGAAACGGCTATTTCTGTAGGAGAAATCAACTTCAGCAACAGTACGCGAGAGTTTGTGTTTTGCTTCTTGCTTACCTTGAAATTTGATCTCAAACACATCGTCGTGGGCTATAGGGCTTGGATGCTGGGAGCTGATGCTGGACTTACAGTAGTTAGGGGAGCCTGGTTGGGGGGCTCTGGGGATATGCCTGTTTTTTTTCTTTGGTAGTTTCTGTTTAGCCATTGCCAGTGAGTAGTACATTCCAAAGTTGTTGACAATTACTGGTACTGGCATGGCGATGGTCAGCACACCTGCCAGGGCGCACAGGGCTCCAACCAGCATGCCAAAGGTCGTCTGAGGGTACATGTCTCCGTAGCCGAGGGTCGTCATCGTCACCACCGCCCACCAGAATCCGATTGGGATGTTCTTGAACTGTGTATGCTCACTGGCTCTCGGGTCGTTGGGGTCGGCGCCGATGCGTTCTGCGTAGTAGATCATTGTGGCAAAGATGAGGACGCCAAGAGCAAGGAAAATAATGAGGAGGAGGAACTCGTTGGTGCTGGCCCTCAGAGTGTGACCCAGAACTCGCAGCCCCACGAAGTGACGGGTTAGCTTGAAGATGCGCAGGATCCGCACAAAGCGGACAACTCTCAGGAATCCCAGCACGTCTTTCGCCGCCTTGGAGGACAGCCCGCTGAGGCTCACCTCCAGGTAGAAGGGCAGGATGGCCACAAAGTCGATGATGTTGAGCGCGTTCCGAATGAAGTCAAATTTGTTCGGACAGAAAGTTATTCGCATCAGGAACTCAAAAGTGAACCACACAACGCAGACGCCCTCGATGTAGGTGAGGTAGGCCGCCGTCTCCGTCTCCTGGTATGTGCTCACCACCGTTTCATTGTCCAGCACTTCCGTCTCGGTGCGGTTCACAATCGGGTTGAAGGCTTCGTGGGTCTCCAGACAGAAGGTGGTGATCGACACCAGAATGAAGAAAAGCGAGGCCAGAGCGATCCACTGAGAGGGGAAAAAAGATAACAGGGAGATGAGGACAGAGAGGACAATGAGAACAGTATCACAGGCATGTAATCAACCTTGATGGGTTAGCAACTATTTTCAGCAGGACACAATGCAGCTCAATCTATCATCCATGAAATAACATCTGGTTTGATTATGACCAGATGTCAATTGGTGTTATCTCTGTTTTTCCTCTTTAAGAGGATGATCTGGATGAACTTCCTGTTCCTCCTCTTGCTTATGCTGAGGCTCAAGGTCATGGCATTCTTATGAGTGATCTACATACTGAACTATGAAGAGCCTGCACCAGCTGAAACAGTAGTAAAAACGGGATATTTCTGTTAACCCTCAACCTTTAGCCTGGGCTTTTCCCTTCAGCACAACCACTATAGGCCTTCCCCACACAAGGTCACACTGTCCTGAGGACCAGCTCCTGGGAATCACTGAGAGCTGGGAGAAACCCATAATTTACCTAATGGGTAAAGAGTACGTCAACCTTCATTGTGCATTGATTAGATTCTCAGATGTCATCACATTTAGGTCGTCAGAGATCTGGTGCACACAACACGAGTGTAACAGCGGCTCTCTCTGGGGTATTGAGTGGAGGCCTTTCGTCATGGTGTCTTCCTCATGTTATCTCCCTCCCATCATGCTGTGTTGGTTTAATGCAGGTGTTGGTCAATTCACCTCTTTATCAATTTATACTTTTTAATTTTTAGTTGTTTTGTGCCCAACTGTTTTGCATAAAAAATGAATCTGTCTGTTGCAAGACATGCATCAAAACAGGCCTCCTTTGGGAGTATTTTGTACCTGCTTTGTCTATCCATGACTTCAAGTATTTTTTTTTATATTGTCCTGACAGTCTACTGTAAGGAAATATGGTTATGTGACTCCCGTAAATAATATCTACCTAATGAGTTTGCTTAGTTATCTTGTTTTCATCACGTGTCATATGTCAAATTTTAAAAAACTCAACTGGTGCAAACCGTGATTTGTCTTACTCCACATGGTGTACTGTTATCTTAAAGCATCCTCATTTTAAGTGAGGTGAGTGGACAGGAAGCGTAAACAGGAAGAGAGGGATTACTTTTCCATGAGCTGCAAAAGTGGAATCAATAGTTGCTTGTTTGCTTGTAAAAATGCATCAAAGTCAAGCTTTGTGGTACCTCTCAAACTAATGCACGGGATTGTTAAGTAGCGTGAAGAAATAATGAATGACTTTAGGGAAGGTGTAAGTTGAGTAAAAAAAGGAGCGGGTCTGGGCGTGCATCCTGCTGAGCAAAACAAACACTGCACTCCCTGGCAGTAGCATCCATTCACAGAGAGGCCGACGCGCAGCACAAGATGGAAAACAGGCACTCATTATAACATCCTCATCACCAACGAATCATTGCACCGAGCTGAGGAAAGTCTGCTTCCCTTCCAAATATTAGGGTAGTAGCTCAGGGAGACGCTAGGTATCCCTGAGCTGTTGAGTTGTGTCAACAGCAGGACTGTGCACATAAAAAAGCCAACTTTGAGAATATTTGTAGAATATCGCATGATTTTTTTTTTCAGTTGAGTTCAAGTCGTCTTCAGAACAAATGTAATCTCAACGAACTTTGCAGGACAAATGCCTCAGTCCATATCCATGTAAATATAAATATAAACATATAGAGAGATTCATATTCAGTCAAATACATCCCAATAAAATTCAGTTAAATTCAGTTTATGATGCTAGTTGTTAGAAAGAATTATGTAAGAAAAAGCTCAGTCCGGTCGTGGACTTCACAGCTTTTTTCTTGATGTGATTAAGAGTGAATTTTGTGTCAGCACTCCGAAGCAATAAAAAGTGTTAGTGTTTTCTCTGATTGCATAATGCTGTTTTGTCCACCCCCTCTGCACTGTGTTCCATAATAAGTCAGATTTAACATCCCTGCCTTCGCCTTTAAAGTAGCCTGTTTTTTATTTTATCTGAATCTCTTCAGATGCCAAAATTTTTCATAATAGTAAAACATTTTTGCAGCTCAAATTGAGCAGACAATATCAGTCAACAAGCTTTAGTGTGACGAAGCCTTTTTTTTCTGATAAGCTTCTTTTATTTCGTTCGCGAATGCCTCCAAACATTCAGCTTGCTGAATATCCCACCCTCCAAACAAAGAAACAAGCGCTGCGTCTTATTGGCCCGCCCCCTGAATTATGCGTCTCTGACAGTAAGGAAGGAGCGCAGTCAGTGAAAAGACAAAAGACTTTTTCTTTATTGATAATTCTCCCTGTCTCGGAAAAACCACAGTCCTACTATGCAGAGACGAGGGCTTAGATCCACTGTGAATAGAGTCTGTAATTAACTCTGAAGCTCACATCTAATTAATCTTATTGCCAGTTTTGGTAGCGCTCCGTCAATCTTTGATCTGCTTTTGTCAGGCCTGTTGTTGAATGTAGGACGTGTTATAGTGTTAGGATTTTTTTGAAATTCAGGGATTTTTTTTTTCTCTCGCTTCATTAAAAGATTATGTTGTAAATGGTACACAGTTAGGTTACACTGCTGAGCCCAAAGCCTAAGGGGTTAGAACCGGTCAATATAGACTTCCTTTAAAGCAGCTTGACTGTTTACACCAATCAGGTTGGTACAGCTGTTCAAACAGCGTGCAGCACAGCGGTCCTTTGTAGGGCCTCTGTGGCCTTTCTGAAGCATCTAAAAAGCTGGTTGTTATTTCGTTTTCACCAACGTGGGGCAATGTGCCCAGATGGAAAAGTGCCCGTAACAAAGACTAATAACGACACCTGAAACAGCAACCTCATTTCTGTTTGGAGGTCTGCCACAAACAATTCGTTGGTGCCAAAGAGCTGGTGTCCTTATGTGGAGCTGACCTATATAACTGGGTATCCTTCTGTCCTGGAAATAACAATCTAAAGACCTGTTGGAGGCTGAGCGAGGATCTGCATCTCTCTGCTGGAGGAGAATGGGAGCTACGATTCGCCTCCAAATCGTTTATTGCATAAGATATTTTTGTTTTCTCTCTCTGCTCTGTCTTTGTGCTCTCATCGACCTGCTGTGGAAACCCCAGGGAGTACAAAGCAAGGTCATAAAAAGCCTCCTGAGCTCATCAATTTCTGTTGTGCCATCACAACAGCAAAGGCAAATTAACAAGTGTTGTTTGTACAGTTCTGACTGGTTCTGTCAAGAGCAGAGGCACATCCACAGAGTTACGTGGCAAGAGGATTGATCATCTTTCAATAAAACACTAAAACTAAACTATAACAGAATTTTAATTTGGGTTTTATGAGTTTTATTATTCTGTTGTCACATACAGGGAACTTTGGACGGAGTAATTGATTGAAAAATGGCTTGCTTTTAAACAGAAGTGGCATAACATCAAGGTAAAAATAAAATAAGCTTTAAAGAAATAAATGAACAAATAAAGTAGTTTAGTTGATTTATTGATTGATTTCTCTCTGTTATTTTAAGTCCATAATTTAAAATAAGAACAGACAGCTTTTCAGACGCATTAAAACTGAACAGCACAGCAAATATTAACAATGAATTAATGCATAAAGTGCCGATGAAGATATAAAATGCAATAATTAAATGCGGTAACTCTCTTCCTTTTTTTAAAATGATAAAAAAATCAAGTGTTTGATAAATAAAACATTTAACAAGTGTAACTCAACTTGATGAAAACAAACACACTGGTGAAACAGGGACACTAACTATCCTGTGGTGGACACATCAAAACCGTAAGCTTTAAATTTACATTTTATTATGCTATTGGCATAATAAGAGTAAAGGAGAGATTTGGTTACGTGAGGATTTAAAACGGATACATTTATTTTAATAACAGGAATTATAGAAATGTAAACAACCCTTTCTGTCCCGGGGGCCTGGATGCCCTTTAACCCCCTCACCCTCCTACATCTTCGTGATGCCACTGATCAAGACCGATTTCTGCTTATAGAGAATTAGGCTTTGTTTACCCAGGGCCGCTTCAAGAAGGTGGCCAGTTGGGGGCCACGGATAATCTTGGGCCAAAAGCCAGAACAGAATTTCAGGAGTTTTGTTTTACTAATTGAATATGTAATGGGTGAGAAGGCGGACCATAAATAAATGATAGCCTGTGGGAGTCACAGTAATCATTTAAGCTTAAATAAACAAATAAATTTAGCAGCTCATTGAAACATGAATGGTCCCATCTGAAAGTCATTAATTATGCATGCAGACTGTCTGGCTTATTACACTGCAACCCAATTCAGATGAAACTAGAACAACAATAACATGCGAAAGAGAAGGAGAAGAAGAAAAAAAAAACACTCACCCTGGCATATTTTGAAGAGTATGGATCCTCGAACAGAGCCCAGACCCGTTTCTGCCAGCGGCTCCACAGGCTGCCACTCCTCACATCAGGTGAATCCCCCTGCGCCAGCCTCCTTGTCATCTCATCATCATCCTCATGCTCCGGCTCTGGCTCCGGATCCTCGCTCCCCAGGTCTAACAGACCCCCTCCGCCGAAACTATCAAGGGCCTCCTCTGCCTCCCGGTGCTGTCGATAGGTCATCCAGCAGCATGGCTCCACGTCTGTCTCATCGATGCCCCAGAAGGCCAGCTCCTCCTCATACAGCGGCCCGCAGACGTCGGCCGGGCAGTGCAGTTTACCCGTCCTGTAGTAATTAAGGATGTGTGCAAAAACGCCCGGGTGACGGTCGAAGAAGAACTCCTCGATCTTGGCGTCATAGTCGAAGTGGTTGGGCGCGTCAGGCTCGGCAAGCCAGGACAAGCGGGTTCCAGGTAGGGTGCGCAGGGTACTGCGGTATGTCTGATGTCTGATCCCTCCCACGTTTATCACAATGCGATCCTTGTCGTCGCTCAGGCCCATCGCGTCCCTTAGGCATTTCTCCACTAAGTTCCCCTCATTGCAAAGGTCAGTCTAGATGTACCTTTATAACGGCGGGCGCACATCAATTACGCACAAAGCAACCAGTCGCCAGTTGGGAGGAAATCAGTGGTGTTTGACATGCATTCCCTCTATTACCATGTATTCCTTACCAGCACCTGACATGCACCTGGCTGATTTCAAACTCTTAACATTGCCAGGCTCTGCTGAAGGTATAGAATAGACATCCAAAAAGAGTGCAGCCAATGGGATCACATTAGGAACGGACGTCACATTGCTCCCAGATCAGAGATGTGCACATATGAAAAAACCCCAAAACAAAACACAAGCGGCAACAGTTTCCAGATCGGGTCATTGAATCCAGCAGGTCGCCTGTTGTTCGTGACTTTCACAGCAAGGTGACTGCGGTGGTGCTGAGCGGACAGCGTCTGATGGAGACGCGGAGCTGCCTCCAGACTCGCCTCCCTCACGCTCAGCTCAGCCCGCTCCCCTCTCCGCGCTCTTTGGGCGACGCCACCGCTACACACAGCCGCTCTTTGTCTCAGCAGATAAGATCAGAGCGCAGATCTTCACCGCTGTCATTCATGCATGATCAGGATGAAAAATATCCCAGTCAGATCAAAGGGAGATCGGTCCTCTTCTCAGATCTGTACACCAGACCAAATAAGGAGAATCGAGGATGAAGAGGGCGACGAACCTCCTCAAAAAAAACGCCCAAACTGCCTGTTATTCACACCGAGCCTCTCTGCTCCTGTTTCAAACCAGATTGAGCATGCCCAGTGGAGGAGCTTGCACTTGCAGCATCTCCTCCCAATTAAAGATATTGAAATAGTCTTACAGCTGCTCACTTTTTCTAATGTGTCTGACTTATCCTTGTTGTCGGAGAGCAGCTCCCACAGCCTGTAGGGAAGCGCCGTCCATCCTCCTGCGCAGCTGTCTGCTGAAGGTGTGACCCTGGAGCCACAAACGCGCAGATGCGCCTCTAACACCACAGATCACAGATCACTTACCTTCTGTGGGATTTAAATATACACACATATTAGGCTTCAGACTGCAGATTTATCTACACCAAGATAACGAACCTCACTAAGAGCATAGACAGTCCATGCAAAGACAAAAAATAATCATGGATAATATTTGAATATAAAAATATGCGTTGCTGAATAGTTACAAGCCTTCTGCTTGAGATTTATATGACAGCAGAGGGCGCTATTAACCACTCTAAGAATATTTGCAAAGCATCTTCATTCTAGTGTCGACAGATTTCCATGAGTTCGATTGGCCCAATGGTCAAGTTTCAAACTTAAACACAATGGATCATTTGTGACAGGCATTTGAGAATTGATTGACCATCCAGTCTGACCTGAGCTGAATCAAGTCAAGTCAGATTGGACTTGACCTGAGGAAGAATGAACAAATATTTTAGTCTTTACATGAGAGAGTATTGTAGAGGAAAACACCAAAAGACTTGGAACGGTACTTGCACTTGTGTTGATCCATGTAAAACCCTAATAAAATACAGATTTACGGTTGCATTGAGGTGAAGTGTAAAAACACTCAAGACATTTTTGCAAGCCACTCTGTATGTCCCACTTTTAACTGGATAATTCTAGATAAATCTAACTTGCGTCTGGAATCCTAACCCTGCCGAAAGGAAACGGGGCTCCCTCCCTCCACACTCTGTTTTTCCTCTCTGCCTTGTCCTGTCTGCTGCACTCGGTGGGCAGATCCCCGTCTCGGTTTTCACTCTTCGTTACGAAGGAGGAGTTTTCTGTTTTAGCTGGCTCGAATAAAATCTGAGTGATCCCTGAAAGTAGACTTTGGTTTGAGCAGAAGGACGAGCTGAAAAGAAGCGACAACAATGGCTGTGGCGGGTTGTACGAAATGCATAAAATATATGTTATTCTTCTTTAATTTTATTTTCTGGGTGAGTCAATCTTTACTTTTTTTTACATCTCTGGTATCTGACTTGTTTGGTTTCCCTTCTTTTTTAAACAGAATGTTTTCTTTCGATTAAGTTTTAATTCCTTGATTTTTGCATTTAAACAGATCAGATCTTTAATCTTGGAGAATCTTGTGCTCTTTGTGACTCCTGTGTCTGGAGTGGGAAAGCAGAATTTATTCATACCTTGATCAGACAGAAGATGGAAAAGCTCTCACTTTTGTTGTCAACAGTTACTTTCAGAAGTAGAGGAAGTTCGTTGGAAAGAAGTTTGTTGAGTCAAAGACGGGACCACCAAAAGCTGGGAGGGGATCATTCAGGATTTCTCAGTGGGATGAGATTCTTTTCATCTCCCTTTCTTATAAACGCTCCTTAAAAATCCATCATTGTTGTTGCTTTAGGTCAAGGTCAGGAAGAACACAATAGATACAGAGCTTCATTTTGAAAATTAAATGGCAGATGTACCCTCAGTAGGCAGGAATAACGCTCAAAAACACTTAAAACTGAACAATTGAACAGATTTTTCGAGAGAGTTTTGCTACAAACCTCAAAAATCTCCAAGATCTCACAATTTCTGGTCATTTCAGCTTTCAGCAAAAGAAAACAGCTTTATTATTTATCTGCCAAATTATCTCATACACTGATATTCACCTCGGTCCTACATTTAAGTTTCCATTTGGAGCACACTGCAGCGGCGCATTGTTTAGATGAGCAAGGAGTCACCACATCCTGGACAGGCCGCACTTGATCGTCTGTTTCCTCTGTTGGTTTTGCCGCTGTGCCCGTCTTTGTGAAAGCTCTTGAGCCCCGTCTTCCTCATTCGGCTATTTTTCACATCGTGATTTGAGTTTCCTGTTTCTTTGGGAACAATGGTGACCAGCCAGGTGGGAAAAAAGAGAGAGAATAAGAACGGGGGATAGATTTCTTGATATAGCTTGAATATTGGCACAGACATGCAAACCCACCAGTTGACTTTTAGGATAAAATATTGATAGATTTTTTTTTTTTTTTTTTTTTTTGCTTACAGAATAGCAAACAAGGCAAGTTTAATAAGATTTTAAAAAAAATACTTATTTGCTGATTTGGCTGCAAACAATGCTGTGAGGTCACACACTGTGCCACAGGTCACTGAGGTGTCAGGATGTCCTTTCTTCTGTCAGACTTCAGCTCCACAGTGGAGTTCAGCACATAGTGAGAAAGAAGTTAGAAGACCAGTTTTGAACGCTTGTTTAATTTAAGCAAATTTTTAACCTGAGTTTCATGTCATTGTTTGTATTTTTCTGTATGTTCATACGTGGCTCTGATCCTCCCTCAGGGTGTCGTTACAGTAGGCAGATAAAATGTGAGAATGAATAATTAAAGCCTGTTTCCCTTTGCGACAGCTGGCCGGAGGTGTGATCTTAGGAGTGGCCCTGTGGTTACGCCATGACAGTAAAACCAGCAACCTCCTCATACTTCAGTTTGAAGGCCAGCAGGCGCCGAGCACCTTTTACATCAGTGAGTATCCACCACAGTAAAACTGCAGCTAATTTCAGCGCCGTTCATTGGGATTTTATGTTCTAGACCAGCACAAACCGGCACAGATGAGTACAGTTGGTAGAAAGTGGCACGTATCCCTTTTAAATAAAAATCTTAAAAGTCCAACAAGCCTTCACAGTTTACTCCAAAACCCCTAAAGGAAATCTGTTGACCACACTCAGATCAGATATGTAAAGTAAAGTAAATTGTGAATAAGACATACTCAAAGTCATGGACATTTATTTCGTGCAGTGTTGCATACATTTTTCACCAAGACCGTGTATTGATGAAGGGAAAGCTCTGTGCCAAGCCTTCACCAGAACATCACACAGATCCCCATAGGGTGTGAACACTGTGGCGGCCGATCCATGTGTGAAGATGTCTTCTTCTCACTGAACCACACGTTGATAATTTTAGCACAATGAAGCTTGGAAATATCATCTTAAAATATCCTCGTGTCAAGAGGGAAGAAACAATCCCCGGATGGGATTAGTCCTCGTAATGTTGCTGAACTTTGACCCGACTAACTGCAGTAACCCCATGTGACAGGCACTTCCCCCTCAGGCTGCAACAGTACACACCAATCATGATGACTGCATCACTTAATCTGCCTCTTTTCTTATCCTGATGAGGAGCCCATCACTCTGGAAGAGGGATTCATCTGGTCACATGGCCTTCTTGCGTCGCTCCAGAGTCCAGTCTTTGTGCTCCCTAGCAGATTTCCTCCAGTTAACCTCAATGTTTAGTCTCCTTATGGCAAAACAGAGTTTCTTTCACATTCTGGGTGTGAAAATGCTCTTACTTTCACTATTGAATATTGCTCTGAGTTCTACTATTTCCACCAAATGTTGATCACGGTCATTCAGGAGTTCCCCGCTGTCCTTCCAGTTTTTAGCAATGTATTGTAGAGTTGTCAACCAAATTTTAGACACATCCACAACCTCCTTAGATGTATTCTCTGCTTGGTGTCAATGATTTAACTCATTTTAAACAAGCTGACATCTTTTCCATGACTACAGGATGCATCTTTCCACACTGTTAAAGAAATGAAAAGTAACTCATTGTAATAGCTGGGGTTAAATAACTCCTTACCAGCTGGAAGACAGTTTTCCATGCAGCAACTTATAACTATTTGCTTATTTAAATTCAGATGGAGACTTCTTTGTTGTTGTTTTGGCCAGTCAATGTATTTCCCGCATACTTGGTGAAGTTATCTGCTTGACAGGAACACTTTGCATAAATTACAGGTTGTGCGCTTTTCATTTTCACATCTTATTTTTTGTGTCTGGAAACTTTTACTTAAAGCTGAATTTGTCTTAGATGCAAGCTAAAGGATGAGATGATCAGCAGGGGACAGAAATACGTGGGGGAGGGGCCAAAGCATTTTTCTGGCAACTTATGAAAATTACTTCAAGTGCTTAAATGGCACCAGTGACTATTATAATATTCCTAAAACATAAAACAAATGGTTGAAGTAAAATATTCATTAATTAAGATGCAACATCACATTAACATTTTTTATGTAGTTTGATGAGCTTCTCGGATTGGCATCCCACTGGAACAGAGGGAAGGAGAAACGAATGCAAGCCTTGGAATCATTAATACAAAATCACTTATGCAGCGGTTACATAAAAAAGTTTATTGCTGTTCATTTCCCAGTGTTTTGCTGGAGGCTCAAACACCCCTCATCATTTAGTTGATCTAAAAAAGTTTACATCTACTAATTTTGTCTTTATTCTTAATTGTTAACACAAAGAAAGAGCTGTCTTAGCACAGCCTCCTAAAACATATAATTAGAACCGTGTGGGCTGACTTGACCTCTAACAATAGGAAACAGGACCTGCGTAGTTCCGCGTCTCTCCTTAAGAGTGGTTACGACCAGCTTTCACTCAGTCCCATGACCTCACCGTGGGTGAGCGTTTCTGAATTAAAAACTTTTTATGCACATGTTTAGGTTCTGAGTCTCCTTCTGTCTCCTTGGGTGATCATTTGATAGCAACCAGATGTTTCAGACAGATGTCGCAACAGATGTGGAGTCTAGAAACACTGCCTTTGAGAGCGGTGCAGGAACATAAATATGAACTGTGCCTTCTGTTGCTCACTTTTTCTTCTAATCTTATATTTCATCTTGTGGCAAATGCTCTTTAGTTTCCTTCAGATCATGCAGCGTGTATCTTGTCGCCATCGTTCACTGCTCTCAGCTCCCTAAACAGCGAAACATGACATGATGTAAGCATTTCAAAGGCCCGTGATCTTGGTTTTGCTGCGGCGGTGAACTCCAGTAAAACCATTAATTTACATCTGGGCTCCTGCTGTTCTGCCATGCTTACCCCCTCCGTAAGTATATGGGACAAAGTCAAACTCGAGCTTTTTATAGTGGAGAGGAGGCGCTCTCATGATTTTAAAGCAGTGGTGGCAAGGAAGGCCCACCCAGGCAAGATCAAGGGAATATTTCGTTTTTTTAGCCCTCCCTTCAACATACGCCCTAGCATAATTCAAATAATCTCATACATGTGCACATTATCCCTCAAATTAGAGTTTGAAGTGGGTGTTTTTTTAGCTTACTGGCACACCAAAGTGGTATTTATGTAAGACTGGAAATACACACACTCCCACCTCTGCTGCAGCACTTGAGGACATTACTGGTGGCAGTTGTCTGGTCTGGTTTGTGCCACGGCCTCCGACTCCTTCATAGTTGAACTTTTGAGCTTAGCTTGCTGTGAGGAAAATGAGAAAAATCCTCATAATGCTCATGTTTGTATTATACACATAAACTCAGAGCCAGGGGATGAGGGGATGCATAAGAGAGTAAACAGTTACATTTATTATTAAACTGCTCTTCAGAGATCGGCAAAAAAGCACAAATTAATGCAGCAGACGTCTTGTGAAACTTTAGTTTATTCAGTCAATCAATCAAATATTTTATTTATTGAGCACTTTTTGAAAACATCTAGGTTAATGTTGATTAAAACAAGATAAAACAGCTAAAAAAAACCCACCAACAATGAGCAAACTAAGAAAAGTGAAACTGTAGAGCAAAACGAGATGCCATGATGTTCATTGTGTTGTTGTGTGGACACATTAAATTTAATTCAAAATCAGTTCAAAAATACTTTATAACCCCAAAATGAAAATAATTCTTGGTGCAATTCATACTATGAAAAGTTTCCTCAAAGTTCTTATAGGTTCTGATGGGTGTGACCAGGAAAGATCTCCTGTAGCAGTCCGTCTCTCAGCACATATGGAGAAGTGTCTGACTGAAAACATTGTTTTACTGCATGACAGCCTTTCAAAGAGGATGATATTTGTGATTCCCCTCCATCCTGCAGAAGAGGCTCAGTTAGTCAACAAAGTCCACTAGTGTGTAACTTAGTCTCAGGAGAGTTTAGAGCCTACAGTTCAGTAAACATAGTGTTGGCTGCATAATGCTTTGGGGATGCTGTTTCTTACCACGGACTGGAAAGCAGGTCAGAGTTCATGGGAAGATGGACAGAGAAATGGAAGTCCTGGATGAAACCTTTCAGATTTTCATTTATTAAAAAAATGTTGAAAACCAGCTGCTTTTTGCTTCCGCTCCACAGTTGTGTTCTACTTTTTGCTAATCAGTCATGTGAATGTTGCATGCATGCATAATAATTTGGTTAAGTTACAAGCTGTAATGTGACAAAATGTAAAAAAAAAAAAAAAACACGAAGTTTGAGGGTTATGATGTTCTCTGGTTCGTGGCCAAAAACAAAAATAAGCATCGAAGTAGAGCATCCCCTTTAAACTGCTGGCATATCTTCGAGGATAGTAAATCATTTTTAGGTTACTGCGCTGCCCTGGATTACATAATGAGGGAGTCCAAGATACACTGCATATTTCCTCCGTCTGCTTTTGACTTTGTAAAATAACTGTTTTTAAATTACAGGCAAGATTTATAACCGTATCTTTTTATCTTGAGTTTATCTCAGTTTATCGGTGTCCTCCTCCGATGGTGTGAAAATCACTTCTTCCTTTTTTCTTCTATTCAAGTACTGAACGAGACGGACAAGTGAAGCTTCTGGAGATTATACTGAGAGACAGGAAATAAATGGACTTCTCCGGGGGTCTAAAAGCGCATGTCTCCTTTAAAGACTCAATAGATGCCGAACCTCAAAGGGTGTTGTCATAGTAATGGAGGGCAGTGGAAATAATGGCTCCTTTGCTGCATTGCAGATTTACTGGCCCTGGTAACCTTCCCCTGGTACCACAAAAAAGTCCTGAAAGCAAAGAGAAGGGGGGGTTGGGTTATGTGTGATAAATGAGATACACTGCTGGCCTGTGTCACCGCTGGTTCAGTTCGGTGAGCACCGTCAGGCTTCGTTAGCAGGTCAGCGAGTTGGTTCCTCTGCAAATCAGAATAGAGGACTCTGAAAAGTCTGAACTGCTTTTTAAAAAGACATATTTCATGTTTTACACCCATCTGTTTTTTGGGGTGGGGGGGTGGGGGGGTTATTGTGTCTGGTCTGACAATTCATGAAACGGTAAAAAAGTGGAAGTGAGTCATCTCAATACACAGAATCCCGACAACAGATTATGTCTTTTCTTAGGTATTTTATTTAATCACTCGAACAATTTATGTTCATCATTTCCTGTTTAAACAGATGCAATCAGTATCTAATCTGTGCAGCACAAATACTTCCTGTGAATCTGCTTATGGACACAAAAATGACTCCCGGCATTAAAGTGGTACTGAAGGAAAAAGTTTTCCCACTCAAACCCTGTTTCTTGGTTCCAACAATTTAGTCTGATCCTCAAGCAACAAAGTAGCCCCAAACTGTCATGAGAGCATTTCTAACATGATGTTATTTTTCTGAAATGCTGTGTTAGTTCAACGCCAGATGTCACAGGACAGGCGTCTCCCAAAAATCTTCACGTTTGTCTCATCAGTCAGAAGAACAGCCTCCTTAGAGCCTCGGGAAGGGGATTTTTCTTCTTTTTTTTTGGCCATCATTGTAAATTCAGATTGGCTGAAGCTAACAGTTTGTAAGAGAGGGCCATCTTCTACCATATTTTTTAAAAAAAGCTCCAATCTCAAAAACATCAAAGACATTTACGTGAATGTTGTTGCATAATCTGTTAAACTGCCTTCATGTTTTTATTTAAACAAAAAGCTGATGAATGTTTAGACAGGAAATGAAGGATGAAGGCATTGTGGCACCAATGATGGTTTTGTCTGGAACATGTACAGAGAAACTAATGGACTGATATGAAAATAAAAGCAGTGTAAAGTTCAAAAACATTGCAGTCATTTACATGAAAACTATTTCATTGATTTTCCTTCTTATGTTCCGTTCTCCTTTTTCACAGGAAACTTATTGCCGCACATTTCCGCACGACCCCACGACCCCAGTTACTGTGTAAATAACCATCGTCTTCTGAGTAAATGACCCCCAAATTCACCATGAAGTCGGTTTAAAAGATCAGAAAATTCCAATAGCTTAGAGATTGAGCTTGTTTATTTATTTTAAGCTTTGGTCTTGACCTTCGTAGGACTAGCTGTTAACTTCGGCCTCTATGACCAAATGGTAAGGATTTATACTTTAGACAAACACCAAGAGAGTAACAACAGTAAAGAACATTTTCTTAAAATAGTTGATTTTAGAGGATCTACACCTCCTTTGTTTCTTTAATTATTTTGTTCATTCATGCTTTTATTCTGCATTGAACCCAGTTTCACTTTTCAGTTTTGATGGCAACACAATGAGCTGAACTCTCTTTTTTAAGCATGTCTAATTGCTTGAATGTGTGTGTGTGTGTGCATCCATGTGCGCTTACATGGTCACTATGTTTCCCAAGAAATGCTGTGAGTCAGGGGTCAGTGCAGACAGGGTCTTATGTGGAAGTCCAGGGTGTCGTGGAGGCATTTCCTCAACAAGGGTGGCTGCTTCTAGGCACTTCCATCCCTCTCACTCAGGAAGTGAGAGATGTTTGTCTTTCAAATGCAAATAATAGTATGTCACCCTACAGAGAAAACAGGAAAAACATCCAGGAAGCCCCAAACCAAACAGCATTTGGCTCACTGTCATGCGCATCGGGGCTTTTCTCCCTCTTAGCGTTGACACTTCTGCCCCCTAGTGGTGGCTAAGACGCTGTGGCATCGTGATAATTGACTTTCTGTTTACAGGCGTCTACATACTGATCGCTGTCGGAGCTGTCATGATGCTTGTGGGGTTCTTGGGATGTTACGGTGCCATTCAGGAATCTCAGTGTCTGCTAGGAACGGTTAGCATTCCAGCTCCACCAATCAGACCGCAGCAACTCCATTAAATAAAATAAATGAGATAAGTCTGATTCTAACATCTTCTTTGCAGTTTTTCTTCTTTTTGGTGATCCTCTTTGCCTGTGAAGTGGCCGCAGCAATCTGGGGCTTCATGAACAGGGACACTGTATGTACAGTAAAATTACAAATGTCTTAAAATCATCTTCAGTTGTCATCCTGCTTCATGTTTTCTAATTGTCCACAGATGTCCAAAGAGCTGATTAATTTCTATGACGCTGCGTACATCAAAGCTGTGGATGTCACTGGGTCCCCGAGTAAAGACGCAGCCATCGGTGTACTGGGTGCTTTCCACACTACGGTATGTTTTATATTGAGTCCGATTTTTTTTTTTTTTTTTTTTTTTACGTTTGAAAACAGAAAAATATGCCTTGTGATTACAAATGCTTTTGCTCTGGGTTTCGTCTTCAGCTAAACTGCTGTGGGAAAGGCGATGACACTCCTCTATTCATGCAAGTCCGCTCCACCTTGTGTCCCTCAGGAATACTTTCTGCGCCAGTACCCAAGGTACAAAGTTTACTACCAAACCCTTCGTACAGGCCGCGTTTCATCATTTTACCAACTTTTCCTTGTCAGTTGCATGGCCAATAGATGTTTAGCTCACAAGTAGAAACAATGTTTAAAAAAAGCTAAAAGATGCAGAAGAACGCTACCGTTACATTTGAATGAAGTGGTAGTAGAAGAGTTTCCAACTCGAATGTCAGCGGAAGAAGGGCATTTTTAATTTACTCATTGATGATTAATACTGACAAATTACATATAAAAAAGTAACCCAGGAGAAAACAATGCATTTTCTTGCCTGATAAACTTTAATTTAAGCCAAATTTGTGTTGTTGTTTCATATTTCTGGGGCAAAAATGGTCTTATATGGAGAAAAGATAATTTTTTTGTTTGTTATTTTTTTCAGTGTGTGAGCGGAAGTCTGTTCAGTTTTATGATGCTTAACCAGATTTCCAGCAGAGGGAATTATGGAGAATTGATAATTCCTCATGAAAGGGTGGATCATTAACTGCAGCATTGATATTTATATAATTGTATTGAACTCATTAAATCGATATATCTTAGTTATCCTTTAAGTAAGAGGATAAGCAAGAAGAAATCTAACTGGAAGGGGAAACTTTGATAGGAAATTAGATTGGATGTTGATTAAAGATTAACTTTTCCTTCAACTGGCAGCACAAATAAGTCGGGGCAAAGTGATGTAATCAGTCACTGAGGAGTTCAGATGTGCTTTCTTATAATATTACCTCATCTTTAAAGCTCACTCCATCATTTTATTCATTGTCACATCAATTTAGCACATAGTGGATGTACCAATATGAAAATGTGGGCCAATATTTATATCCAATATTCATCTGATTGTTGTGGCTGATAACCAATATTTACTGATATATATTTCACTTTCCTTTGTACACTAATTACTGCTGACTTCTCTACTGCTTCAGTTAAATTCCCCACAATCCTCCTCTGCATCACTGTCACATGACCAAACAAATACCACATGACCCGCCTCATCCCCTGCTCCTCCAGAAAAATGATTTAAATAAATATGGGTTGTTAATATTGTCCCAATTTTATTTATCAGACTGATACCGATACGTTAAAAAATGACTAGTACAAGCCGACAGTAATGTTATGGCCAATATTTAGCATCCCTAAATAAAACATTTATTTTCATTTAATTTTGAGTTAAAAAAACAACAAGTTTATTTGTGTTTCATTACTTTCAAGTTTTAAGATTCAATTTGCCGTTTCAACCTACTTGCTTAATGTAGCATTACTGCTAAATATTTATCCAGTAAGAATAAAGCACAATAACTTTTATTATTTGTGCTGAGTTAGTGATGCATATTATAGAGTTATTAGGTTTACAGGAGTGAAGCACACTTTGACATTACCCAAACCTCTTTAATAAATGACAGCAGCAGGCACACCTGCCCACTGTCAGTGTTTACACTGAGATTTGATGTATTTTGTGTTTATGCCCAGCTGATATCCAGCGCCTTGCTTTGACAGCCGACTTGGTTCAGCTACATGCGAACCACGACAGACTCTGTGCACTGAGAGCGGAACAAACCTTCGAACTGATCGCAGCATCCTCATCCAGCCTTTCTTTGTCTCTTGTCAGAGCTGCCACAGCGAACTCGTCGCTCTGTTCTCCGAGAAGCTCCACCTCATCGGCCTGGCCGCCTTGGTGGTTGCCGTCATCATGGTGAGCGACGGAGTGAAAATGCACAGATCTCGATTTCGTTGTTAAGAAGTACTGCCTGTTGTCAGCTCTGATAGCATCGCAGACTCTGCGAGAGAGACGTGCTGAATTAAATCATATCATTTTCTGCACTTAGATCTTTGAGATGATCTTCACCATGGTGCTCTGCTGTGGGATTCGCAACAGCCCGGGAGTTTACTAAGCGTTTAAAGGCCAGGAGAAAACCGCAGCAGCTGAGGCCAGAGGGACCTGTGTCTGTGCTACTGAAAGCACTACATGTATATTATCCTATTTACTATAGATTAGATCTTGTTTATATATTACTCATCTGCCATTACTTTCATTTTGAGAGTAACTGACCTGTCATCGTTTTCTTTTATACCGTCAGTTTGTTGGAAAATGTTTCTCTAGCAGAGTTTCTGGGTGTGTAATATGTATATAAACTTATTGTTTATTAGAAAGGAGACAACGTGTGTATGCATGTGTGTGTGCGTGTGTGTGTGCATGTGTGTGTGCTAACTGGGTAGTTGTGTTGTATCTAGCTGCAGGGTGATTGTTATTTATTCTGCAGTGTTTCTGGGATGAGCGAAGAGGCTTTTACTGGACCATGTGTGTCTTCTAACCTGAAGAAAAGATCATGCTCTCAGTTTGTTAACTTGTGAATCTTCCCATATTAAATACAAGCAAAACTTTTCTATTTCCTGCTTATTCTACCCTAATAAATTAAACAAACTGTCATATATATATAAGTGTTTAACAGTGATTTTTCTATTTTTTTTTTTTTGTTTGTTTCTGAAGGAGCTTAACTTTATTTAGGAATTTGTGTCTGTCTTATTATCCAGCCAACATGTACTAATATGAGCTGTAAAAACAGAGATTGTATATATATGTTTGATGCAGAACAATGCTCCATTTGAACTGGTTTTCTCAATACCCAACTATTGATTTTGGCAATGTGGGTCGTATTTAATCAGGCCAAAAGATCCCATTCATATATAAATAGTTAAACTTCATCTTTTTCAAGATGTTCAAGCTGCAACATGGCAATATGTCCTGTGTTATTTAATTATCCAAATTACTTCAGAATTATACTTCTGTGTAATAAAGCATTTGCTAAGACTCAAACCCCGGTGTTTCAGGATCTTAGCAGAAACTTTATGTTACTTTTAACCCTCAGTAATGGTGTATTTGCTGCGTTTCGCCACGAGGGGGTGCAGTCAAATGTACTCATGTTTTCTCTGCAGCGTCTCTCCCTTTTGAAGCGACTTATTTGCATAAAAAACCAAACTGACTAGTACATCTGGCACAGAGACAGCCGCCACACCCAAAGCACATGTTTGTTCTGCCAACAGGTTCACTTTCTCACCAAAGGAAGCAGCTTTGATCTCAGCTGTGACAAAGACGGGCCCCAAACTCTGTTACTCTCAGAAAAAATCTCTTGAATACGGTTTCTTTTCCTAAAGATCTTTTACTGAACACGCTTTGTTTCTAGTTTAATGGTCTTCTCACATCTGCTACCTTTCTCCATTGTTGTCAACTTGAACTTTGTCTCTTGGCTCCAGATTAAGGATGTCTTAAAGCCAAGGTAGACGGTGATATTTAGACAACAGGGTGTTAAATCGTCAGCATGAGGGCAAGTGTTTGCAAAAGCCGCCTTTCCTGTTTCTGGAGGACAATGCTGCCATGTGATTTTAAAACAAGCCTCATCCAGTCAGCACTCATGAATCATGAAACGAACTTTGTAGTGTCTGAATAAGAGCAGCGACAGGCAACCAGGTTCCAGGTTCCAGTTTTTTTTTTTTAGTGTGCAAAGTTGTGAAATCCTCTGTTTTGGGTGGGTTGATTCCACCCAAATGATGATGTGGGTGTTATCAAAAGCAACAGTTACTCACATGGGCCGGTATCGTGACACTACCGAGTGATGAAGAGTACAGGATTGAATCAGAGATGTGATTTTTATATTCTAAGAAAAAATGGTATTTGTTAGATCAACACAGACTTAAAAAAAAAATAAATGGACCTCTATTTTAGAAGTTCAAAGTTCAAGTAGCTCAGATTTTTAGCTCAGCAGTTACACAGAGGATTTTTCAACTTTTTCACCCTTTGTGAATGTAGACACTCTGTTTTTATTATTGTTACTTGTAAATCTAGATTTTCACTGACAAATGAAAATCTTATTTAAATATCACACCACAAAGTATTAGTTCTTACTTCTTATGTTTATCTTAAGGAGCAGAAACCTCCAAAAACTTTTACTCAAAAGCAAATCTTTGTTTATTCAACATGACTAAATAAACCCATAGCCTATTTTTAGTTCTCAGAATAAATTTAGAATATCTTCTGGGCCAAGAAAATAGAAAATGACACTAAATATTATGAAATCTTTTCAAAAGTCAGTCTACTTTACTAAATATTATGTGTTTAGTTTATTTCGGAGCAGGTGAAAAAAAATCACAATAAATCATTCTGCGATTTTTTAAAATTCTAAAATAATTTTATATCTCTTGAGTACGTTTTGGTCTAAAACAACACAAAATTGAGTAAAAGTCTGAAGTGGTAGGAAAGTGAAATATTTATTAATGTTTTGTGGGGGGGAAAAAATTGTATTTGTAAAAACACCCATTTACTCTGATATCCCCGAATAAAATCCAGTAGTAATTGCATCAAGTAGTTACATCATGACTAACCAGAGTCCACCTGTGTGTCATTTAATCTCACTATAAACACAAATATCTTGTAAAAGCCTCTGAAATCAAAAAGGGCAACAATCCAACGCTTGGCTGACCTTATTGCTTACAGCGCACGCTGAATACAGAGCAATGATAGAAGGAAACCTGTTAGTGGCTGTAAAAGTTTTAAAACTGGAGTGAAGAGTAAAATGACTCGAAACATTCAGCCAGATCTACGCTGAAATGGCTTAGACATGTACAAATGGTGTAGTCAAAGTCCAGAGCTGCAGTCCTCTCCAACCTATATGAGAGCTTGAGCTATTTTGCTAAGAAGAATGTATAAATATATCTAGGTAATTCAGGGGGAACATGCCACACTTTACAGATGTTGCTTTGTAAAATATGTTTAAAAAAAACAACAAATCTTAAATTTTCATTTTATGATTATCTACCTTGTGTTCGTAGGTCACCAGCAAAAAAAAAACAAAAAAAAAAAAACCTTGAAGTCTGTGTTTGAAACATGACAAATTATGAAAAGCTCCAGCAACATGAATGCGTTTGTCAGACACTGGACATGGTCTATTCATTTCATGTATTACAAAGTGAAGGTTTGTCACGTTTTTTGAAATATGAGTTTTTAGAGAAAAAAAAAACATGAGGGAGGAAAAAAAATGTTAGAGCAAATTAAAAAGAAGGCTTGCTTGTTATTCTATCAGATTAAGTTCCAATTAGTCAAAAAGCACTTGATAGGTTCACAATAGGGAGCTTACTCATACTTCTGTGTTCTGCAATTATTGTATTAGGTTTGTAATCTTGCCTTCTGCTGACGAACTATTCATGTCGGTTCTTGAATTACAGAATGTCTGATCAGACCAGGTGCTCTGAGTAAGGAGTCCTGGCTGCAGAGCTGCAGTCTGATCTTGGGCCCTGTAGTAAAATTACAAGTACCTGCATGAAAACTGATTGTGATTGTGTGCAAAGCTAAGTGTGGAACTGCCTAAATGGTCTCTAAAGTCTACAACTGAACGAGACACATTTTTGGGAACCTTCATATCATGTTCGGGTCGTCATCTGTAAGCCTTTATAACAGATACCATCAGATAAATGATGCCTTCTGGGTAATTGTTTCTCTCGTCAGCATCTGTATGTTTTTGCAGCTCTCTGATAACTGTCATGTGAAAGGAAAGCTGCTGATACTTCACACAGCAAGCAGAAGGTGGTTTTCTCATGGCGTTACTCTGCTGATTCTGACAAATGCACCTGGTTTGAGTCACATTTTGGACTCTATTCACAAATCGTCACGGTTTGATATTCAGTAGAATTCAGTAGTATTTACCGCCCTGAGTGAGTCACCACCATAGCAGAAACAAGTGAAAAATCTGCTTCCCTACCCAAAAAACAAAAACAAAACAACTGATAAGTTCTGTTCTGGCAAGGCTTCATGTTCCTGTTTGATATAGATTGATGTCATGAGATCGAGCGCAGCAGGCTAAGTGAAAGAGCGTTATCTGTCTTCGTGTTTCTCTGCTCATCGTCGTCGTTGCTCAGACGGCTTGTCTCGCTCTTCTTCTTTTTCAACACACCCCATGGTGTCATACCTGTCTGTGACTCATCACTTCTGCATAGGATAGTTAATTAAAATGAGGGCGTTAACGTAGTTACTGTTACTTTTAATACTCTGACACCCACAAAATCAGATCAGTCCAGGTGAAAGTCAGAGGAGAACGTCTCACTCGCAGGTCATGGTAAGTCTAAACTTTCACAGAAGAGTTTGAAGCTAATAGTTTTTCCCTCCTTGCAGTTTTGGATCCGAGGCCTAGGATTGACTTGTATGCATTTGCTTCTTGTTGTTGAGCCTTGAGCTGCTTTTTGCGAATTGTTTGTGCATATATAGCTATGTTCAACAAATTAGAACATTATTGAGAAGTTAATTTGTTTCAGTATTTCATTGGGTGAACTATATTATGTGGATTTATTTTTGCACTGGTTGATGTTTTCAGGAGCCATGAGGACATGTGAGCATTTTGATCATAATTTTTCATTTGCTACACAGCATTTAAAGTGAGAATATTACATCAGACTAATGAATAAATTTCACATAAATATCGGGAAATTGATATGATGTTGATTGAGAAGGACTGTGAGAAATTTTGCTCACTCAGATCAGACCTGCTTTGAGAAAACAACTGAAAGCAGATCAACTTGGTTGGTTGGGATTCCTGCTTTAAATTTATTTATTTATTTGTCCAAGTGTGTATATATATTAAATAAATACCTCAAGTTACAATGAAAACAAATCAATAAGAATCAATACAAAGATGAATTAATCAGAAAAATACTTATTTGCTTTTACTCAATTTTGTAATACCCGTAACTCAAAAATTGCCATTCAGACAACACAGACATACAGAATCCAGCAACATGTGAGTGGTACATTTTGTACTATACTCACATTGTTGCATTAGAGGCAATAACTCTTGTTGCTATGTTCAAATGAAACAAAACAAATAAATCCAAGGTGTGGCTTGGCCTTAATGATAGAGTGCTACAGTGCCACACCTCGTAACAGCCTTTCAGCTAAAACTGGGAATTGACAGTTTGCAAAAAAAACAAAAAAAAGTTGGGGAGAAAAAGAAAATGAAAGGAAAATAATAGTTTTATTAAACTTCGTTTTCAGGTACGGTAATATGTGAATGGTATAAACTGTGGGGGAGGGGGAGTAAAAAACCTAGAGCAGATCAGTTTACCATTCCCTGTAGATTAAAGTTCGCCCATCGCTGTTAACATGGCGTCTGTTCTTCACAGTTTTATTTGACTTCTTCCTGATTTAGTATATTTTTAAAATCCTTTCACATAGATCTTCAAAAGAGCTCTCTGTGTGTAGAGTTATTGTGAAACAAGGCTGTGACAATATTCACACACGTACAAATATTACAACACAGAAGGAAGTCATTTTTGCTGCATTCACAAAGTACAACGCATACAATTAGCAGCAGTTTGGATTTAACTCTTGAATGGATAGTTCTCCTCATTCTGTGAGGTAAACCTTAGCCTAAGTGGACATGAATCACACCTGTTCGTCTTGTAAAGTGGTTGAGAGGACCTTTGTGGCAATGTAAATAAACTACATACAATTGAATTGAAAGGATCAAATGCGACAGACCGAAGCTTTCACTGAGAACACTTATTGTTTAATTTTGCTGCTTTTAGAATGAGTGAAGACTAAGTTTTTAAAATTGTTAAAATGAAAACAAATTTGAATCAAAATCTATAAACTTATCTCAGCGTCTCAAGGCCCTTTGCAGGACAAACAGGGCAGATCTCCAGACAAAAAAAAAAACAAAATCATAAGATCAAATCATACAGACAGATTTGAATTTAATACGGATCCCAGTTTTAATATGCTGTCAAATTCAGTTTGGTGAATTAGTTTCTCTCTTTACTGTGTTTATTTACAATAGAAAACATAATAATGTTTTGGTAACTTTGAATTAAATCCCCAATTACATTTCACAATTACTGAATCTATAATACAAAATCTATAACTGTTGGAGTAGATGCAAACTTTCCTTTTTTACTTACCTTTGAGAGCAAGAAATGCTTTCTGACAAAATGTCTTACCTTATATTACTCATTTTTAATCAAAAGCATTGGTTTCTTTGACACTCCTTTGTCTTTGTTTACCTTTGCAAGGGTTTCAATGAAAGCTCTTTAAGCTCACATCTTACAGGCTTAATGTAAACTTGTCTTTAACTGTTCTTAATATTATCAAGTAGTTTGTCACAAGTCAGTTTCTTACAGGAGGATGTGAACTATTACGTGAATCTACACTTTGATGTTTTTAGCCAAATGTCTGCTTTGAGGCAAAATCTCACAGAAAACATCAGACAGTTTTAAAGTAAAATCTGTTGTTCTTATTCTCAGCCTTATTGTTAGCATAAATTGGCAGGTCTAAAAATAAATAACCAAAACACATTAAAATGCTGTAAGGTAGATAATTTGATGTTCACCTAAATGAAATGTCGAAGGTTTCCTTAAAGCTAGAAATAAATATCATACGTGATATTATTCTTTATATGCTGCTTAACGATAAAAATACATAAAACCTTGTCAGTATAATTCCTGCTTTAAATCAAGTTCATTAAAATAAAGTAATAACTTAATCCCAGAAAGCAGCAAGAAGTTTATGAAAGAATCGCCACTCATTTAGTAATTAGAAAATCACTTTTTTAGTAAACAGTTTTTATTACATGAATTAATAGAATAGTAAAGCTGCTGAAACTCTGCTGTGGCTTATTAAGATACTTATATTTGCCTTTTCTTAGTTTCCTTTGTTATTGTGTTCCAGTTCATAACATATTTTGTAATGTTATTGCTTGTTACATAATTGGTCACTGTATTCTTTTTTTATGATGTGAAGCACTTTGAACTGCGTTTTTGCTGAAATGTGCAAATAAACTTGACTTAACTCGAGCATCTTTATACAACTTTATGAAACTTTATGCAGGTTTTCCTGTCAGAAAGTTATCAGATCTTGAGTAACGTAGCAATTATAATAAAGACTAAAAAAAATTATATTCCTGGCAGAATTAGATTTAAAGTGCTTAAAAAAATAGAAACAATGTAATATAAAACTGTATTCAAGAAAGAGTAGGATTACTTCAACATTCTGTTACTTAAGTAAAAGTAAAACGTAGCAATGGAAAAAATTGCTAAAGTAACAGTACTTGATGAAAATGCTACTGAAGCAGAGAAACTGATCATAACATCTGATTCATTTAGAAATTGTGTAATCAGACAAAAAGATAAAGCTATGTGTGCTAATTCTGGTATTTTAAGCACCAAAATGTAAATGCAAATTCAGGAAGAGTAAATAATTTTAAAACATATTTGCAATAGAATACCTATAAAGCTAAAACTTACAGTAGATAAAGTATTAGAACACGGTTGCGGTGACAATATGGTGTATTCACTTTATCTCCTAATGGTTTAAATAACATTAGAACAGCAAAGCGTGTGTACGAAAATGTACGTGTGTTTCTCTCATGTCTTTTTCGTTAAAACAGTTACTCGCAGTGAGTAGAGTCTCCAGAAAGTTTACTGAAGTGAGAGTAGTGATACTTCATAACGTTTTATCTCGTAAAAATAAAAAAAAAAAAAAAAAGTACGTTGTAGAAAAAAGAAGAGAAATAAAAAAAATGGTTATGCATTTTTGTCTGAGGTGTGTTTTGTTAGGGGATTTGAGTCAGCTGCTTATCTAGACGCGGTCCAGAGCTCACCTTTGAGTCAGGTGTCTGGTTTCTGCGTGGCTCCACCCCCCGCAACTAAGCGGGTCTTGGAGTCTGTCTGCCTCCACAAGCGCAGTGGTGTTGGCCGTGGACCGATCGGACAGAGTTTGTCCTCAGCAGGGAACATCACAGGCGCGCCTTTTCGTACTGGACTCCCTGTCTCTCTTGACTCTGTCGCCATGAGCATGTTGACATCGGAGAACGCTTTTCTTTCTTCTTTACAGCCACACACCTTATCAACCACTTATGCTCTCCCGTCGGACAACCAACTCGGGAATGGGAGCGCCATGTCGGACGACGCCGTGCGAGCGCGGCGTGTCCAGGAGCAGATCAAGATGAAAATGGCCGAGAAGAGCACACTTCCGCGTCAGAATGGAAAGGCCTCCCAATACGCAATGTCAGGTAAAAACATTAATAAGTTTAAGAGGAAGTACGACTTCCAAAGAAATAAGTAAAACAGAGTTGGATGATATATTTTCAGAGCTGGCAGGTGTTGGACTTATACAGAAAAGTCACAGATGCAAAGCACAGGTGTTAGAATCGTTACCTGACCACAGACGTGAGTTTATGACCAATAGGTGTTATCTGTCTATGTCGTTAAACTTTGAGCTCCCATAAGATAATGTATAAAGGACAGAAGACATAAGTCATATATTAAGTCATATATCTATGTATAAGTAATAAAAGTTGTTCAGGGAGGATACATGATATTGCAAAAGCTGGACAAAGGTTTGCTTTGTTTAGGTGAAACATCTCTACCTCCCCACAGCTGAGTTCTTTGTCACACTGAATGATTTCATTCAAGAGGCTGTAGGCGAGATCATTACATCAGATCAGACATAAAATATACACAGTTGATGGGGAAGCGGCATTGCAATGAATTTTATTAAATAATCACAAGTTTCTGTGGAAGAACAAAACTGCCAAAAATAGATAAAAGTTGATTCAATAGGATTGTAAGGAGTTAAGTATCCAGAAGTACAGCAATATGTAACAAAAGGAATCAAGAATTGAACCCACAACTTTCTAGTTACTCCACCCACTGTTGCAAAGTCAATCCTAGAGAAATGGAGCATTTTAGTACCAAAACTCAGATTTTAACACTGGGAGTGATGTCAGACCTAGTTATAAGTTAGGAAACCAGTGGGATTGGATAACTGTTGTGGTCACTAACTACTATCAGAAAGTCAAGCCACTAATTTTTATACTAACTTTTGATGTCACTGGTTTTAATGAGGCAAATAAATAGTTCGGCATTAAATGCCTGAAGCATTTGTGTGTCACCCATATTGGATTTTAAAGTAAGTCCTTGGAGACTTTCAACTTTCACATGGTGATGTATTTCAATTCAAAATTACTTTATTTAAAGGGAAATTCAATTTTGTTGTAACTCATGCTATCCAAGTAAATTTCAAAGAGTCGTTGTGGATGGTGATGCTGCCCATCTTCATATTCATCCCATAGCGGATGAATCTGAAGAGGCTGACTCTGTCGCTGTTTGACAGTCTAATAGTTCTGACATTTTAATAGTTAAATTTTTGGACAGCAGAGACAGTATTTCACAGCATGACCTGGACGACACCATCAGGTTTTGGCAAACACTGCTAATCCACCTCATTTGCCTTTGCCCCTCCTCTTTAAAGCTCTGTCTGGCCATATGATGAGAAAGCTGGGCAGAGCGACGTTGCAGCTGAGGGTACGATCCTCTAAGCTTCCTATTAAACTCCTTCATTATAATAATTTCCCAAACATGCAATGCCTCAGACAAAAGAAGTTAATTCGATAATTAAATTAGAACTATATTCAGTTAATAATACCTGGAACATCCTGAAGTGAAACATGTTCTTCACTTTTTTGTTTTCCTGTTTTTCTTAGGGACGCACCCATCCACGATTTTCACTTCTGATACCGATGCTGAAAAAAAAAGTGCTGAATTGACTTTTGAACACAGACATAAATGGGTTGAATTTACAGCACAGCACAATGCACAAACGGCTTCCCACGATTGGTCAAACACTAAAAAACAGCACAATTTGCTAAGTCAGTGTAACTAGGAATATAACAGCCATTGTAAAATAAATAATAAAGAAACAGACAAAAGAATAGGTTGACTACTTTGGTCAAACATGTAGAAATAAACTGCAGCAAACCTTTCAAACGGTTCAGAAAGTACAATCTGAAATTCTAAATATACTGTAAAATAAATATAAAGCATGACGTTGCACAAAGCATAGAATTGGACTGAATAGATCTGCCATTATAGAGCTGGTACATTGTCACCGATACCCGATCTAGAACTTTTTTCAATAACGAGACCGGTACGGATATTAATATTGCTGCATCTCTTTTTCAGCTTGTATTATTTTTGCTATGCAAATAAAATTGCCTTGCTACTAGATATTGCAATATCAAAAATCAGTTAAGAATTATTCACATTTTTCTGACCTTTTTTTTACATTATTAAACGTGTTCAGTTCAGTATGTTCAGTGATATTTAGCACATCCACCTCTAAAACTACAAATGTGGTGTGCATCGCTGATAGATAAGGCACGAAAGCATGACAATCAACATGATCAGCATAGCTAAATGAATTTATTTTATTGATCCTCTTATGATGGTAAAACTTCCCTTCGTACAGATATGTAAGCTACAGCTTTGTGTATAAAAACTAACAACCAAAAGTACCAGACAGCCGACTGCTTGTGGATCAAAATCCCTACCACAAATAAATGGGCGTCTTTTGCTAATGATACATCTGTGACGCGCTCTAAAAGTATGCTGTCCTTAGTTGCATGACGTGTCAGGCATGTACAAGCAAATGCTTGTACATTACAGGAAATCTGAAGCAAAAATCCAGAACGATTGACGCAACTTCATCGACTCACAAAGTGCAAGGGGGGTCAAAAATGTGGCAAGGGAAAGACTTCAGTAAGACTTGAAGTGCTAAGAATCAGCTTTATTGGGGTCGTCCAATGACCCTGAGGTCAAGACAAAATGCACTGGTCTACTAATTTGACCCTCTCAACATGCATGTATTTATTTAAATGTTCATTAAAAAAACAAAAAAAAAAACATGCAGTGATTCACTTTAAAATGATAGCGAATCATGGGATTAGATTTAGAGAGTCACCATTGAGAGTCAATATTTTAATGTTTTTAGATGTATTTTTTTATTTTGGCTGTTTTCGTCAGTCTGGTAATTTTCTGCAAAACCAAATTACTGTTTGATTGTTTCAAAGGAATTTAACACATTCAAGAAGCAGCTATGTATTTATTTGATTTTTATTTGTAGATTTGACTTTAAACCTTTCAGCCTGGAGATGTTGAAAAAGCAATAATTTTTTGGTTGTCATGAATTTAAATCCGATAAATATCTTGTGATTCATAAATACATTTAAAAATGACTCAAGTTGGTAAATATTGCAAAAGAGCGAGTGAGAGAGAGTGTCTGCTGTGCCAGGAAAGGTTTCTTGGTTTTTCCAGTTGGCCGGGGTTGCATTAAAGATGACATAAATTATTTTTTTCTGATTTTTGGCAATTTTAATACTCCGCATATTTTATGTTTAAGAAGATATTCTGCTGTTGTCAATAATAACATTACCAAAGTAAAACTGTTTAAGAGGCTGCAGGGACTTTTTCATATCTGGTTACTTATAGGTTTAGAATTTAAATCTTATTTCTTTCTCTTTTGATTCAGGAAAGCCCATTGTATAATTCAGTACTTACTGAAAATGGATGGCTGCTTTGTGTGGGTGGAGTTTTTGATTTTTTTTTTTTTTTTTTTTTTTTTTTGCTTTGCAGCATAGATGTTCCTGTTTGATTCAAGTTTGTTTTGCATCAGTCCTTTGGGGGAATTTCTTAATTTGTCCTGAAGCAGCAGCCGCAGTTTTACATTGTGTACAAGTGGTTAATGTGTAACAGGCCTCAACAAGACCTGCTTTCATAAAGTTCCCTGATAGCAGTGCGAATGTGAGAAAGGGCATCAGCTTGGAGTTGACTTCCAGACATGAGGGTTGTTGTTAGAAACGCATGTTGTCAAAATATATGACTCGGTTAAAAGTTGCCTATCTAAGCGTTATTGCGAAATATTCCATACCAGTGTGGGATTGGTTTCCAAGTGATTATGAAAACCTACAGAAGTGGCTTGAAAGGCTTCCTGAATGCTTGGAGCTACCGTAGTTGGTGGTTGCACCACATTTGTTCATGTAATGAATTTATTGAGCTGAAAGTGTGTCAGGAAGTAGGATCGTGTGCCATCTGAACCTGGATACCTGCCTGTTGCGGCGAGACATTCCTTCACATCTTGTGCGTCACTGTTCTCAGCCAACAAGCAGAGAACGAACAGAACACCTTGACATTAGGTTTGCGTCGATGTGACCTCCAAACTCCAGGCTATTTGGATCCAGAAAGAGAGGCTTTTACTCACTCTACTGGTTTAAGCTTTTCTCAGAGGTGTCGGCTGTACCTGCCTCAACAGGCGAATATGCTGCTCCTGCTGTTTCTTAAAAACTGAGCTGAAACAGAGACATGACACGTCTCCTTAAATATTGTGGTGCTCTGTTTTTCTTAGCTAAAATATACCTCTTAACGACTGCCAGTGTAAATCATCCCTGACTTTTGCCTGGAGGCAAACATGCAGTCACACAATGTAACATTTTATCAGCTGTCGGCTGAAACCTCACCGAGCAGAGTAGTGCCATTTCAGTGGTTTGTGGCTTTAGAGGACTTGATAATGAATGCATAAGTGTTTGCAGATGGGAAAAACAAAAACACACAGAGGAATCTGGAAGGAATACCTCCCCTTCTGTGTCTTAAAGCAGTCGCAGCTGTGCATGGATATCAGGGGACGTGTCTCAGCAGTGTTGCGTTCAGAATCCTAGCAAGTGATGTAAAGAAAAGAGTTGACGCTGAAGGTGATTCAGGGTGTGTTTTAGTGGGCCTGTAAAAAGCTGACGCTATCAGGTGTGCTGGGCGTTGTTGGGGTTGGGCTCGGGTCACGTCAGAGAACATGTCAGTCATCTCTCTCTACGGCAACTGGTTTCTTTAAGCGGTGTGCCTGGGGCCATGTTGGAGTCTCTCGCTAAAGCACATGAGAAGTGGAAAAACAACAGCTTCTCAGGCATGAAGCAGGCCTGGTACAGTAACAACACAAGTGTTGTTTTTTTAAGGACAGGTGCAACTTAATGAACAAACTGGTTTGAGAGGTCAAACTTAAAAGTTATTGTGGCACGAATCTGAATTTTGTTTGGTTTTTGATTTTCTGTTTGCTTTTAAGCCAATTTTGGTTAAATCAATTCACAGTTTTCAAAGGGGCACTATCATGCTAATTCGACTTTTTTGAGCTTTGCGTCATGTTAAAATGTTAATCCTTCATCAAAAACATACCTGGCGTGCCTGGGAGGACAGAGCGCCGCCATTGAGGCAGTTTCCAAATGTCCAAGTTTCCAACACCGCAACCCCCGCACTCAGTTCCTATAGACTAGCCAGCAGTAATTAGCAAACTCTTGGTGGAACTGTGCATCTGCTGATCTCATTGTGCGAGCCACTTCTCAGTGCAATGCTGGTAAAACTGTTGTTAAAGGGTTAATAGAGGAGCGATGTTGTGAATTCCTGAAGGTAGAGTTTCAGAAAGGGCAAGAGTTTTTAAAAAAACACAGGCCCAATTTCAAGGTGTTAAATTTCATATTTGGTATGTATAACATTTTTATAACAACTAACAAATGGCCTGGAAAATACATGATGTTGCCCCTTTAAGAAGTGTTCAAATATTCAATGTGGTTTTTAATCATATTTACTAAAACTGATGTTAGTATCTTACATTAGCAAATAGAATCGTTATTAAGGCTAGCTTTGATAAAACTGTGGTCTCCACATATGTGCCTTCTTAAAAAAGCAGATTTTTATCTCAACTCTTGAGATTTCCAAAATGCTGCCAACATTTCCAAATAAATCATGCTCCATGACGAGCAGAGACTGGAAGCTACAAGGAGATAAAACAAAACAAATGTAATGTACTCTCTGCTTTAAGTCATGCTCTCTCATTTTCTTAACATGTAGTCTTACATTTTACGAAAATACAGTTCGCTTTTTTAAACATTTCCGTTTATTCTGATGTCATTTTAAACACCTCACTGATATTGAAAATTAACTTTAAATATTCCTTTAGTAACAACTTCCACAATCAAAGGCCATTGTTATGAGTGCAACGTTGCAGGACTTGCATTTAGCACATTAGCATATCAGAAAAAGAGTATTGTTACTCCAAAGTGACAACACTTGCACGGTTTCTATAGACGGGCTCTTTATTAAACACCATGAAAACTATAAAAATAAAACACAAAGATGTAGATACAGATACATTTACAGACTGACAGGTAACATGAGCTTTAGCAAAAGTTACCTCGTGGCCGCCTGCCACGTCCGAGGTCTTTAACAGATTAATTATTCGTCGTCCACTCTAAATTAAAATAGTATGCAATAAAAACACCATAACTGATCAATTTACAAAATATGACAAACATAATTACAAATACTTTGACAGCTACAGGAGACATGAGGCTGCTACACGTAGCTCGCTTCCGGGCTTCTGTTCGTTCGGTTTACTCAAGTCTCGCAGCCTTTCGCATGCATGCAAATCTCGCGATAACTTACAACAAAAAAATAGTTCGAGACGAAATAAAATACATTCATTTTATACAAAACTCAAAACGTGAACCAAACAACTTAGATTGCATTATCCTAATTGTTAGAAATAAACAATTTTTTTTTCAAGAAATGAATTATTTTAGTGACGCAAGTATTTTTAATTTTCCTGAAAACTTTCACTCTGAGAGACTCTTTAGAGCTAACTCCCAGAAAACAAAATCTATCTTTTATCTGTGACAGAACTGAATCTAGTTGAAACAAACATTTTATAGCATATCATAGTGCTGTTGTGAACTGATTTACAGTTGTGTTGCAAATTTGCAGGTATGCTTAGCATGCAGGGAACTGGTAATGGAGAAAAAAAATATGTTTAGCAAAGCAAACGAGTAGTTTTACAATCATTTAGTGCATCATTTTACCTGAAAACAGAGATTTTCTTGGAGGGCCAGACTGAAATATTTTGAAAACTACAAACCATCACAAATGTCTGTGTTATTATTCATGTTCCCCTAAATCTCATGAACACCGATTACTATTCCTATTTAAAAGCCTTTAGGTTTCTTTATGTCTTTGTGATGGACCTTAGAACCTGTGTGAAAGAGGTCCAATGAACATGATACAGACATTTAATATCCCTTCTGGGAGAAATTACAGATTTGCGTCCTGAATTGTCCTCCCTTCACTCTTATTTTAGCATTATTCTCATTAAAATGAATGAAAGGGTGCAAAATTGACTCTGGCGTATGACCAAACGTGACTCCAATCTTTTCTTCTTTTTTTTTTAGCCAGAGTAAACAAATGATAAGAACAGGGTTCTGAAAGTGACACAATGTTTTTAGGTCATCAGTTATTTCTTTAGCTACACCAACTGTTCATTTAGCCTCCTTCTGTTGGGAATGTTTATCAACATATCTACTAGTTTTTACAGCCTAATGTGAAACAGGAGCTAAACATTCGATCATAGTCTGTGCACTCAAACATGCTGTGGTCTTTGTGCATCAGATGGAGGATTGTTCCCAGTAACTGGAGATGTTAAACTTGGCCAGGTCCTGCAAAGTCTGTGTGCAATCAGACATCCATGCAACACGATACATGCCATTTAAACTGCAATGACTTTTATGCAAATTGCTGCATAAAACACAATGGCACTACACAAATGTTGTTGTGTTATAATTTTACATGTTTGCAAAAGTAGGACGTGTATTTTTGTTCCACAATTTGTTTTAAAAAATTATGTCCACTTCAATCCCTTGAGCACAAAAAAGTGCTGTTTTGAAGATTTTGAAAGATGGAATCATAAAGTATTTGTTGACATTGTTCATTATATTTTTTTGTCTTTTTTATTTATTTTTTTTTTTTCCTTTTTTTTTTTTTTTTAGACTACGGCGGTTCATCAACAATGAAATACAGCACCTACAGCCCAAGTTACAGTTCCAAGTCTTCCTACATGTACTCAGGCTCAAAAACCCTGGTGAGTCCAGCAGCATTTTCACAAACTGATCAGCACACATTGTGTTGAAATGTTTGGAGGATCGTCTAATGCACCATCAAACTGGATGCATGAGAGAAATAAAGTTGCGTTGGTAAGCTGTGTCAAGAAGGATTCAGCATTCAGTGTGATATTTCGCAGTGAACCGTGATCAGATTACCTCCGAGTTTTCAAGTCTGCCCTCTAAATTCTTCTGTTTTGGTGCAACCACTAGTGAAACACTGATGTTTGAGCTGTGAGTGTGACAGACCTAATGTGGCATTTTAAACATCTGAATGAGATCTGGAATTGAAGACGACAAACTCAGAGGGCAGGAATGTTGTTTCCAGTTGAAACACATTCCTGCAGTCAAGTTTAGAAACCATTTTATTAAAAACAATTTACTCTGATCCAATTAACTCATGCACACTCTTCACCAGACACTGCAGATCAACTCTGTAAGCATATCAAACTGTGGTAACATTCTCTCTTTTCCTTATGCTCAGGGTCCTCGTGTGTCCACCAGGACAGATTTCAGCAGCCGGTCCGCAGCCCCAGACATAACCCAGTTTCAGCGGATGAGTGTGGGTTTGGGTAGAGGTGGAGGTGGAGGTGGAGGTTTTTACCGGGAAGAAATGCACAGTGGTGGTTTCCAAGGGACCATCAGACAGAACCAAATGGATCGAGATGACATGTCTGTGCATTCACTGCAAAGCCCGGCATGGGTGATAGACAACAGCGATGCTGGAAGCATGATCTCCGAGCGAGATGCCGCCTATGACCAACAGTATTCCCAGAGTGGAATGAACGGCTTCGGCACCCAATTAAGACAAGGAGGAAGCACCATGACTTATCAGACTTATCAGACTCCTGAGCCAGCACTAGGCACCGGGCGCCGAAGTTTAAGTAGCACTCTATCCCGTGGTAGTGGTCTGGGAGGAGGAGGGACAGAGATTATCCAACAGCAGTCCTTTAAAGGCCCAGCCCACCGCACCATCAACAGGATTGCAAACCGTAACCGGATGAGTATGACCTCCATGACTGGGTCCCGGATGACCTCAAGTTCCGGCAACATTGGAGCAGGAGGAGACAGAACAGATGGTGGGTTCTTAATGTCCGTGAAATCTGGTTCCCACGGGAACCTCCTTCAGCAACGCCAAGGTGGCCTGTCGCGATCCACGTCTATGAGAAGTGTTCAGAGCGTGGGCGGGGGCATGGATATCTTTGGCCAGGCAGATTTGGAAGACAATCCCCTCTTTGAACGGTAAGAATCTTGGAAAGTATCCATTATTGTATTATCAAAACCCCGGTGCATATCAATTGTTTCTATTATGTTTTGAAATTGTACTGTACATACCAGCTCATGTCTGCAAATTTCTTACTGCCAAAATTCCATTAACTGCAATGACCCAACCAGTCTGACCACAATTGTATAGGAAAAGTCCCAGAAATTGTGTAAAAAACAATTATTCCAATTTAAAAAAACAAGAAGTAACTCGGTCTTCTTGTTTACATTCATTTACATTCACCAAGCAAAATATACTTTTGGTAATTATCTTGCAATAAATTCTTAGCAATTGACTAATTATATGAGTCATAAATGTAACCAGTTCAATTTGGAGATTTTCAAGAATGAAAATTTTCCCAGGAACTTTTTAGAAGCCAAGACATTGGCGGAAACCAAATGGCAGGGTGAGGTCATTCATTCATTCATTCATTCATTCATTCATTCATTCATTCATTCATTCATTCATTCATTCATTCATTCAGATGACTCTTATGTGATGATCACTGCTGTATTACTGATGGTGATGTAGAAATACGGTGTTGTAACATGCAGCACGTTAACAGGAGTGTGTGTTTCGTAAGAGCTGCGGATTGGGAGGCGGCTCTATAGTGGCAAGACAGGTTTGGGTTTGGGTTTAGGGTGTGGCTGCTTGGTTCAGATTCAGGCCTCGCATTTCACACATCCCCGTAATGAGTGGCTGGGCGAGTGGATTTGCAGAACATTGTGTGATTTTTTTTTTTTTTTAAGGAATTTGTCCAACTGAAATTTTTGTCCAAATCACTGTTCCAAAATCTCTGTTTTGTTCTAGCAAGAGTTGAATACAGGGTGAAATGTTCTCTGTTTCAGTTCATTTGTACATTTTGCAGGCTCCACAGCGTGGATGTACCCACTGCAGTTTCATACCTGAGAATGGAGGACACGGGGATGCAGGTCTTGGGTTCAGCGTACATTCAGCATATTTGTTTCAATGAGGAGCGAGCAAAAGACGAGGTATTTTGCAAATACGTCACTTGTGTTCAGAATGCGCTTTCTTCTCTGCATTCCTCCAACTGAGAAACTTGGTCATGAAAATTGTTTTTCTCGGAGCGATGACAACCCTTGATGGATAGCTTCCCCATTTGAGGTTGCTGTAAAGATCCACATTACTGCTCTAGAGTTTCCCTCTCATTCGTTGTGTTGCATAGTTGATCAGCATTTAAAAGGCCTGAACCCCACTGAATATAAAACAAATCATTTAACCTCTGCCATAAGGAGATTGCTTCTAAAATTTCTAAACTGTCTGAAATGCCTGATTAGTTGGCAGTGCAATACTTTATCATACTATACCAGCTGCTGAGCAGTCAATGTTGATTAAACCTTTTGAAGCCAAAGAGAGACACAAGCTAACAAAGAGCATTCAGGCAGAAAGTGGCAAGGAGTGTAAGCCTAAAAAATATTATCAAGGAATTTTAGGAATTAGATGCTTTCTCAAAATTTGAAACACATTTCAAACAAACCCTGCAGATACTCTTGCTTTGGAGAAAAGTTTTTTTTTTTTCATGAGATCAACAACTCTTTCCTGCTAATTGTTAAAATGACTGGCAAAAAATTAGTACAGAAACCAGAACATTTTGAATTTATTTGCACGCCAGCTTTAAATATTTATCTCTAACTCTAAGCCATGCTGTCTAAATGTGACAACAGCAAATTAGGATTAAAATTTTGTTGATTTTCCTGCACAACCCCAAGATTTTAAGTCCCTGCATCTAGTGACCCCTTCGAACATTTTCTGGGGCACTTGGCCAACACATTTAGAAGTTTATTTTGGCGTTAATAGATTATTTTGTTTGTTTTTCAACTTATTACAGTCCTCTTCCGAGTTGCTTTTGTGTGAATAGAATAGGGTCGTTTCTGGACATTCTTATTGTGATTTTGTATTGGAAAAGATTCATGACTGAAATATTTACCAACGTAAGGAGATTGTTTTTCTATTCTTTGTAAAAAACAAACAAACAAACAAAAAAACGAATCCTACTGCTTGAATTGTGCAACTCGGTGAACAGAGATTAAAAAGTGCTTAATTTAAAATCTTCTATAATAATAAAAACAAAATGATCTACAGAGCTGTTTGAACTGCTGAAACATTCTCTGTGTTTGTTCCAGGTGAGAGAGTTGCATGGCACTGAGCTTCTGGTGACGCTGTTCAAAAGTCCTGATGCTGAAGTTCGCCGTTTTTCCACTGGCGCCATGCGCAATATGATCTATAAAAATGTTGAAAATAAGCAGGAGCTTATTAAACAAGGTGGCATCGGGGCGCTTAATGACGCTCTTGAACAGGAAGATGATGAGCTTCGCAAAAACATCACAGGTAAAATCATGAAGACTATTATAAAAGTAGGATCTACACCAACAGAGAGTTTGATAACATACATTCTGGTGGATGTTCATAATTTTACTGACAATCAGAAAAGAAAAAAAAATGACATAAAGACATAAAGTTCTGCATGTGACAATATTGCGAGATCATGAAGTAAATGATAGACGTTATTTGTTTCGTTAGAATAAGTGAAGAGTGTAGCTGTGTTTTAGAAGAAAACAATTTTAGCTCAACAAATGCAGTAATTAGTTTCACAGATACACTTCTTTCAGATTACATTAACAAGTGCTGCACTCCCTGATGAAATGGGGCGAGGCGATTGGTCATGTGGAATTTGTTCAGTAGTGGGATAGTGATGCAACGCAGGATTGTGGGAGTGCTTAGCTGAAGCAGAGCAGCAATGTAGACAGTACATGGTGTCTAAAGTGTAGAGAAATCAATATGTAAAATATAAGACATAGGTAAATATTGCCATAGCGGCAGTATTAATACTGAATATTAATATAGCCCCAAGGGCTGCACAGCAGCGCAGTTGGTAGCATTGTTGCCTTGCAGCAAGAAGGTCTTTGGTTCGACTCCATAATTGGTTTCTCTAAATTGTCCCTAGGTGTGAGTGTGTATGTGCATGGTTGTTTGTTTGTCCCGTCTGTCTCTGTGTTGCCCTGCGACAGACTGGCGACCTGTCCAAGGTGAACCCCGCCTCTCGCCTGAAACGTTCGCTGGAGTTAGGCACCAGCACCCCCACTAGGGATAAGGGTGTACAGAAAATGGATGGATGGATATTGCCCCAAATTTCCATGTCGGTGCACCCTAATAATTATTCTTCTGCAGCTTTGAAAATTAACCTGTATCAAAAGTCACCCTGGACAGGCTTTTTTTCCCCCCCAGTTTAGTAGATGAACTCTGTTTGCACAGTTTTATTAGTAGTTTCTGTGTCCATCTTTGGGACCGTTTTTAACACACAGAAACATATGCCAGCTTGTGTGCATGGTTCGCTCCCCTACCCATGTGTGGCTACTAGTACCATCTGAAGGAAGTTTGCTTTCCAGTTCATCCAATAAGCTCCTTGTAACAATCTGCTGCAGGGCTGTGGAGCAGCTCGCTGTTTGTTCTGTCTATGAATGGATAAGATCCAGGGAGGATGTCACATAAAAAGTCTGTTGTATTCCATGCATCACCCGTCAATTTAAGTAGACTCTGAAAACGTGGACATTTTCATCAATCAAAGAAAGCTAACCGCAGCTGGAAACTGAATGTTTTCCACAGTAATGTAATCGCTCTCATCCCATTCTTCCACGTTATCCTGTTCTGATTCAGAATCGGAGGTGAAATCGGCGCCTGCGTCGGTGTGGAAGTTGCCGCAGCAACGCATTTTATAACCACGACTCAGTCCTTGAGCAACAAGTTGAGCTTTGTCCATCTTTGTTCAATAACACAAACCCAACCAGACACCCTAATTAAGTGCCTGCATAGTTAAGTAGCCATCCTGCTTTCAGATGTCTTATCTTACTGGTCAAAGAAAGTACAATAGTAATGAATGACCATTCAAAGCCCAGTGTGTTAATCAGCTGTGAGTTCCTGCTCCACACCCTCTATTTAAAGCATAAGATGGTTTCCACATGACTTCAACTAGTAAATTTACACCCCCCCCCAAAAAAAAGTGAAAATCACAATTTTCTCAGAAATTTGTGGTTTTTATCTTTTTTTCTCTTTCTCCTCTGCCGACTTGTCCCCGTGTCGTTTGTTGTGACGCATCACTCACAATGTCGTGAAATTGAACTAATTGTAATCTTGTTTGCAGACTAGTTGCAGTTTTTAATTTAAAAAACTATCTTGCATCCGAGTCTCAAAACAGATTGGCTGCAAACTAGTTTTCAGGACCCAGGATGCAGTTTTCAGGATGTGTATCCTTTGCTCTAGCCTTTGAAACTAATAATATGGAGAGGAAAAATGGAGGAAAGTGTGAAGCTGTAGAGGTGGAGGTGGTGTCATATCCATGGGCTTTGTGTATTTGAGAACAGGGGAGCAAGTGTGTGTGAGCCGCCCAGGCCTGTTGGTTCCTCATGAACAGGCCTGGGCGACTCCCTTCCTGTGAATGACGGCCTTGTTACTTTTTTCTTTTATCAGTTACGCCCATGTCCAGAGTTCACTTTGAAGCTTTGGGAAAGCGATAAAGCAACTGTACATGCTCGCCTTATATTTGGCTCGTTTACCAGAACTGTGCAACTACAGCCAAAAGCAAGCTTTTTAACATTTTTAATCAGAGAGCATAATATTTACCCTGTATGGCTAGTTCAGAATACCTGTCATTTGTGAGGAACGCTTTCACTGCAGAATATGAAGCGTCTAAATGTTAGCAGCCGTGAAGGACAGGGATGAACTGAAATGTACCGTTTGAGGCAAGACAAAGCTCTTTAAGCGTATCTTATGCATACGTCTACTACCGGGTACGAAGAGGTGATTGAGTGTTGCTATTTTTTTTCCTGCAGGTATTCTGTGGAATCTTTCAGCCAAAGACGGTTTTAAGGAACAGCTGAAGACGATCCTTCCTCGCCTCACTGAGAAAGTCGTTATCCCTCTCACTACAAAAGAGGCTGAAAAAGCAGAAATGATTAAACAAGACAAAGGTATCGCCCCAGATTGTCCCTCAGAGGCAGAAATACTACACAACACGTTGGGATACTTGAGGTGAGAAAAGTTGATCAGTTCCTGAAAATGGGTTCTTCGCACAAAGCTGTGAAATAGCTGATGAAAAATGTGAAAATGTTACTTTGTCACCTGAAGTTTATTGAAGTCTTTTGTCAGTTATTTTTACTTGCTTTCAGAGGAGTATTTGAATGTTTTCCATAAGTACAGGCTGGGTTTAGTCATGGAGCATACTTGGTTTAAAACGATGAGTTTTTTAATTGCACCTTGATAATTAAAAACGGGGAAATGGCTAGGCAATTTCACATCTTCTTCTGTGTTCCTTATCTGCTAAATAAAGAAAGTATTGTTGTGCTTGGCAGGTTGGCTTAACCTTGACATTATAATTTACACAGGGCCTGTCTGACTGTCATGTTTGCTTCTTTCATCTATTATTATTTTCCTGTCTGATAACTTTAGGAAGTCTTTAAAAAAAGAATTGAATTTAGTGATGTGATGCTCACGAATAATTAGATTCTTTTGAGCAGCTCTTTACCCTGAACAATTGAAAGCTGTTCTGTTTTTCCACGACTTTGTTTTCCTCTAATGACGTGACTGCTGTGGCTACTTATTTAATTCGAAATTGTATTTATTACATGGGTAAATACATACAACAAAAGAAAGGAATGGGTGGATAAGCACATGATCGTTGCTCATTGTTTTCATCAGGCACCAGATGGCAGATATGCATGCATCTATGCACACACTATATTTTGTTTTGATATATTGAGTATTTGATATTTATTTTTTTATATTATATTTTATATTATCGGTTGTTGGATAAGCTCTTTGTAATTGATTGTTGTTTGTTGTTCAAGCACCCATCCAGTCTTGAGTTATTTTGGTCTGTCTGAATTTTGAACATTTGAACTGCACTTTTTAAAGTGATTTTTAAAACAATGCATCTCTTGACGTTAATCGCTTTGTGCTTTCAGGAATCTGAGCTCTGGCTCAGAAAAGGTCCGTAGAGCGGTGCGAGAAGCAAAAGGGCTGGTGGAGTCTTTAGTGGGTTATCTTCGTTCCACCCTTGAAGTTGGAAAAATAGAAGAAAAGGTGGGAGTGGAAGCAATTTTTTTTGTACAAGCAAAATCCATCTTTGTGCCCATATTGACTTGTTTGTGGTTGTGCTTAAGGGTGCTGAGAGCGTAATGTGCACCTTAAGGAACCTCTCATTCAAACTGTTTGAAGAACTGCCTCCGTCTATAAAAACAAATTTGTTTGAGGATGGTACAACTTCCTCATCTACCGTCGGCTGCTTTTCACCGAATAGCAGCAAAATCAAACAGGTAATCAGTCGTCAGCTTTGATGACAGAGTGTGTATTATGGACAAGATATTTTGTTGTGTCCTGACTTTGTGTCCTTTTTTTTTTGATTAGCACAAAGCGTGTGACCAAAAAGGCTTTTCACCTAATGAGGTATCAAAGTCTCCAAAAGGCTTGGAGTGGTTGTGGCACCCTAAAATAGTGCATTTGTACAATAGCGTGATTAAATCATGCGAAATTAATGCCTGCACACGAGAGGCGGCCATTGGAGCTCTGCAGAACATCACCGGTGGACAGGACCCGGTGGGCGACAACTTTAGCAGAACTTTGTAAAAAGTAAAACCATTTTTCGCGTGTCATAATAAAACTTTATGTCTGTAATCTGCAGTGGGCTGAAAAGTTGTCCCGCTACATGGTGAACGACTACAAGATGCTGCCAAACCTGCTGGATCACTTGCGCTCAGAAAGGAACAATGAGCTACGTTCTCTCACTGGCTTGTTGAGGAACCTCTCCTCTCATACTGACAGTCAGTCCGGCTTTTATTTATTTATTTTGTTGTTGTTGTAAAGACATTTAAATGTCAAGAATTACAGGTTACCAATTCTTATTTAATTAGTGTTTTTACAAGGTCAATGTGTAAACTCAAAGGAAGTGGGTTCTGTTTATTACAGTAATTTTCTACTCAGATTTCCCACTCTTCAGATTTAAAACTCAAAGTTTTATAACGAATTTAACCTGGATATTTTTAAGTTATCAAAAGGTTTATTCCTCATGAGACTGTAAGCAACAAACACAATCTCTTGTACAAAATGAATCAAAATGTTTTAATGGAATATTAAGTTTATGTTTTAAAAATGATTGCTTAGTTAATTAAACATTGGTTGTGAAAAACATTTTCCTCCTATAATTGAATTTTTAATCTATACCTCTATTTTAATTCAGCCTCACAAGCACTAGATGCCGTGGTGAGGAGGTTACCAGAGGACAACAAAGACGTGCCTAGTCCTGAGGCTCTGATCAACCTCTGCGGCATTCTCAATAACATGGTAGCGCGCAGCTTCGACACTGCCAAGAAACTCACTGAAGGTTCTGGGTTGTCCAGACTGATGGACATGAAGAGTCTGGTGAACGACAAGTATGTGACATGTTATCTTATCCTACATATGCAATTTAAATTCATCCCATCTGAATTAGATGCTTACGCAGAACATCGCATCTGCGTAAACGTCTTTCATTCATGTAATATGTTAACACTTGGTGAAATGTTTTACAGTCTAGTGTATGCTGACGCGAGCCGAAGTGCACGCGTAGTACTTCGCAACATGTATAACTACAGGAAACTGCACAGGATTTTCAGACGGGTAAGAGACTTTGAAAATAACAAAAATGTTCAAGCTCTGCGTGACTGATGGGTTATTTGTGGTCACTTGTTGCTGCCATTAGCTTAGAATGTTTGAAAGCAATGATCCAACCTTCACAGCAAAATGTTTCAATTGTTAAAAGGATGAAGGTGTTTAAGGTAAACATGCATTACAGTTTTATGAAAAAAATTGTTGCAATAAACTATAGCATTACCAAAAAAAAAAAGGCAACTAATGCATAAATCACTTCTGAGCTGCTTCTGGTCAGGTTTTATGAAGAGTCAGGTACACTTGTTTTTTTTTTTTTTAATTATGTTCACTCTTAATTTACCTTTTCACTCCATTCTCAACAAGTCCAAGCAGATGTTTTCTGCAGTAATCTCAGACTTCTACGAATGACTTTATCATGTTATTTGGTAAACATATTTTAGCAGCTTTTTGCCAAACGTCTCCTGTCCTCGAGCCAAGGCAGGAACAAAAAGTCAAAGTGCCACACCCTCATTCTTCCATCTGTGTGGCTCCATCCCTGCTGCTTCCACATTAGTTGGATGGCACATGCTCAAAAGCTGTGTAACTTGAGGCAGCTCACACATTCACATGCTTATGCAAACACCTTGAGCTCGGCTGTACCCTGTGAATTTACTGCCTTCTGCAGGTCGCAGATCGACACTCCCAAAGGGTGTGGCCTCCAGCCTCTTGCTTAAAGGACAAGTCCAAACAAAACAAAAATGTATTCATTATTGTTAGACTTTTTTTTTCCAGCTCTGCGATCTGTATTAAAACATATGAACAAAAGCAAACCATTTTAATGTATGCCAAGTGTCCGGGACAAAATTAAGAAATCAAGTGTTCTGTCTATTTTTGGAATAAATTACTCTTCTGTTGTCCACATTTAGAAAATGCCCCTAATGTAATTTCTGTCTTTGTGTTACAGAAAGGTTATGAGAGAAAGGACTTCTGTGATGGATGAGATGCAGGATCTGACCCATGAGACAAACTGCTGTGTATTTTTACAAAACGGTCCATCAGAACAGCACGAGAACCGTCGAGGCAGCAGGATTATGATTGAACAGATATTGCCGGCACTCTAACTAATTTGTGTAAACACTGTTTGTATACTCTGAGGGATTTTAGTCCAGTCATAGCAACATGCATTTAAACAAAATGGCTTAAAAACAACAACAAAAAACCACTGTTGATGGGAGAACCTAGTGCACTCACTATAACAAGTTAGCTTTGTAAATAGTGCTTTTAATTTTAAAAATATATTAGATTGAATATTTCTTTTGTTTATACAAGTTAGCATCTAATCTTGTTTTATTTGAATGGAAATTAGAGACAAAAAAAGTGGATGTAAATATCTTTTATCTTTGGGGATCGTGCTTATGGATTTGCATGTTTTCTTACACTACAAATAAAAATCTATAAAAACTGTGTAATCAACTGGTGGTGTAGGAAATTGTGTGCAAAGTTTATGTATATTTTCAGTTGAGGACTTAAGTTTATAAATGAGATGAATGTTGCATATGAGCACCTTTGAGACTCGTCTTGGTAGACACAAAAACTTTAATTTTGTACATAGAATCTATTTTGGGTGAATAAACAGATGATTTTTAAAGATTAATGCTCAGTGTAAGTGGTGTCAAATATGTGGGATTTTTCAGGAAACTTTTGTACTTTTCATACCATCACATGTATCATCCGATTTTAACAACTAATAAAAAGACACACTGGGAGAAAAAGTTAAGTGAGAATTTCTTATTCATATATGCAGCTTGTCGAAACAAGCACTGAAGTGCTTAAGCTCTGGCCACACCCTGTTTACATATTTGTTCCTGCTCAGACAGGAACAAAATGAAATGTTCTGTGCTGCACCCATATTTAGTCTTTTTTTTTCACTGCAGGTAATTTTCTTTCCATGAGGACAAAAAGGTACCTTAGTTCTGTTGATGATCCGTCTGGTGTTTTGTTTCACACATCTTTGTTTCATTCAATTGAAATGACAGTATTTAAATAGCAAAGTCTTTGCATATTTACTTTCTCCTTCAGGCACTAAAAGAACATAAATATTTACAAAAATCAACCAAAATTTTCTTTTAGTGTTTCTGATCTATACAATGTCACAAAACTGAAAAACATAAAAAGCTCAATCTGTGATAGTTAAAAATTGGCATTATGATCAATGTATAGCAAAAGAAAAAAAAAACAGCTGCAAGAAGCATAAATACATAGTAATGAATTTTAAATATAAGCAGGAATTAAATGTCCTCGGTGACCAGGCAGTAGAAGTCTGAACGTGCTTCATAGCTGCGAGATCCCAGATCAGAGACATCGATGTCGGAGGCTTTTGCTTGAGCTTCCTCAACTGGAGCAGCAGGAAGGACAGGAGCTTTACAGGCCAGAGCCCTGTGCATCGGGAGACGAAGACCTGCAACAAATCACAGTTTACAACGTGAAAACACATCCACACGCCTCTTGCTTTCAAATAAAACCGGGTCCTGTTAACAAGTAGCGAATGTTGAGCTTAAAGCAAACCCGCTCACAGTCGACTTAACTTTTTAAACTACGCTTAATACTTAGCTACTTCTAGTATTTGTCATATTTCTTCATACATTTCTTTAAATAATGTTCTTTTGCCACTATGAGTTTGTATAGTTCAGTGTGTTTCAGCTGCATTTAAGCATATCAGCTAAATACACTCAAAATATTCGCTGTGCATTCCTATTGGAGATAGATTTTTTTTTTTTTCTTTTGATGTGCATTTTTCTATTTCAAGTCATGTTTCTCTAAGTTTTCTGTCAGGACAATTTTATATTTCTCTTTCACAAGCTTCCAACAGTGTTTGGCCTTCATCATTGTATTGTTTCCACTGATGGCTCTCTTGTTGGGACCATGTTTGCTGTCAATAATGCGCAACAATTTCTTAAAGTTGCAGAACTACCTGAAACAGCAGAGTTTATAGAGTTTGCAAAAAATAATAATTGTGAAAGTATTTGTTTTTGAAATTAAATAAATAGGTGATTCCATATTATTTCCTCTATATGGTCTGAAAAAATGTAGGCATGTCTTACAGAACAAGGAATGGTGCTATGTAATCTTTATTTTTAGCTACAAAGTTGAGAGGCCGTATGCTGTAGCTCTTCATTAAAGCTGCACCTGTAACACTTTAACATTAAAGTTATAATTACAGTACTTTGCTAGCACCAGGATGATCTGCATAAAGTATATGTCAACTCATTGATCTTTTTATCATCAAGTTAGATAATTTCCCTTGCTTGGGTTTGCTTAATCAAACTAAACTAGCAAATCCTATAACATAGTTGAAATCAGTTTGAGATTTGTGCACAAGCTGAAATTGTCCATTAGTCTCTTGTTAATCTTTGAGAATAAAATGCCAAAAATCTGGCAAAGTTTAAACAGACTAAGATCAGCACCAGAGTTCATATGAAGGCTTCAGGATTTTCCCTTTTCTGGCACCAATATTTACTGATGCAAAGTGCAGATGTGCATCCTGCATTCAAAAGATTTTGGGGTTTAATTTTATAGGAATATTTAACATATAACCATCAAAATAACCTAAAACTTTTGTTGCACAGAAACTTATGGCTGCTTCAAAAATCTAACACAAAATCCAGCATGGGAAGTTTGTTTTATATTTCTGACTTGCTTACTCAGATGGAAAAGTGTGTGAATAAATCAAATACAAAAGCGCCACTCATACAATGAGTACTGGTTTTACCCAAATCTCCAGCAGGGTCGGTGTCAGAGCGACAGTCCAGGTAGTCGGGGTCAAGGGTCAGCATGGGGTCCTTATCGTCCTGCAGCACGGTCTGGGGGTCGCCTGCAGAATCCTTGTGGAAAATGACTCTGCGAGGCATTGCTAATGCTAGCTCCTTCCAGAATGCTGATGACGGAGTCTGACAAAGAAATATCCCCAAATAAATACAACACATTATAAGAAGAATAGAATAGAAATAGAAACAGTCCTCCATTGCACCACCATGGGGAAATGTCTGAGTTTGTAACCTCAAAGTTAGTAAGCTTTCTGCAATAAAAAAAAAAAAAGATTATAAAGAAAAGATGTTTTTTTTTAGTCTGGTGTTGGGGGTTGACGTCTGAGGAGGACGGTGGAATGGTTTATATCAAAACATATTCATATTACAGGCCTAAAGAAAATCTGTAGCAAAACATGAAATGTGTAGTTCACAGGTACTCTACCTCATCTTGCAAAGAAAAATTAGTGAAATTTTACATTTCTGGATGTGCATCCCCCAAAAGACTTGCAGCTGTAACTGCAGAGAGGACTTCTTCTAAGAAACATTTAAAAAATATATACATTTTCTTTTACTTTACAAATCATCTGTCCATCCCATAAATCCCCCCGCTCCAAAAAAAAAAAAAAAAAAAAATCCTTTTAAAATACTGATTTCTGCTGTCTTTGTGTTGCTGCTTTTAAATAAATAAAGCTGCCGATTTGGGGCTCAACAACCCAGAAAACAAAGTTAGAACAAACTGACTCCTTTAATGTCCTTCAGCATGTGTTTCCACTTTGAAATGATGTTTACTTTAACATCTAGGCTCTAATTAAACTGAAAGATTTAGCCCCCAAAATAAGCCACACAAAGGGAAGCATTTGGAACTGGTTTGATCATTTCTCCAACAGTCTGCGTCGTTTCGCCCGAGGTCCTGTCACTGCTTTTTAAGTGGGTGTGACATACTTAAAGAAACCAATCACAATCAGGCAACATTTAAACCTAATGTTCAACAGTTAAATCAGACAAAACCTCACCCCACTTTTATGCAGTCTGGCTACACAGCAACGCATTTAAAGAACCTCAATGCAAGGCAAAGACTTAAAACTGTGAGTGTTACCAGAGCCAAACTAATCACTCCCTTGTAGCTTGTTTTGTTGTAATAATGCTTACGTTTCTGAATAATTTTTGACTTAATAATAAGGTAGTCTTCATGAGTTGTTGTGTTCAGAAACAGCTATATCTTTATGGACATTGCAGCTCTTATGGGGGTTTAAAATCCCAAACGTAGAAGCCTTCTCTTAAACCTTACCACAGAGTTGTGCCTCCAGGTGAGTAAGGTGAGGCGGTGCTGGTTCTCACTGAGCTGCTGCTTTATCTCAGGACTCATGCGTTTGAACTGACCGTCCAACGTGATCAGGATCGGCTCCTGACATAACTCCAGCAAGTGCAGGAGGCCCTGTCTGAAAAAAACACACAGACTCAACCCATCAGGCTCGAAGCACACACTCAACACTGACCTCTAGTGGTACATTTACATAATCACTAAACACTTTCACTAACTTTTATTGCTCCCTTTATGACAAAATAGATTTGTGTTGTTTGAGACTGACCTGAAATTATTTGTGCACCAGTCCTGCTCCAGATAAGCGTTAGAGAGAAGCACTATGAGGCGGCGCGAGCGGCTTATGTTCATTAGGAGCTCTGCTGAAGGCTCTGTTTAATAAAGAAGGCCGATTTATAATTATTACACTACATTTATGTGTGTATGAAGAGCAGTAGGTTTACACAAAACAAGCAGTAGTGACATATTGATCGTATTTGCCGTAATTAATCTTTTGTTACCAGTGTTGGGCAGGATATCGTTCTCGTTGAGGTGCACCTTGTACCCATTTTTATTCTCCAGATGAGGTTTGAGGATAAAGTTGATGAACTTCCTGTCATAATCATTGTTGACATAAGAGATGTAGGCGTCGTATAATTTTCCATCTGCGGATGCAAACGCACAGACGAAAAGCAGAAGTTAAGACCGATACTTCCACACGAGAACAACCTGGCATCGCTTCGATGTCTCACCATTGAGTTCATAATCGCCGTAGGAGTTCTTGTACCAGAGCTTGAAATTGAGGTGGCACCTGGAGTAAAGCACAGCTGCTGTCCCTAGCAGAAGGAGGAGGACGATGGCTGCAATCACTGCAGCTGTGTGGCTGGGACCGTCTGAGAACACATACACAGATAACAATGAGACGAGAAAACTGGGCCTTTTACAATGCTATATTATCAGATTATATATTTACTAAGACTAGTAAATGACAAATATCATCAGCTGATGGACAAATTACACCAAATAAACAAAAAGAATTTGAGATAAATCTCATGTAGAGTGATTTGTTTATTTTTGTTTCAGCTTACAGCTAATAGCAATTATATTTAAGTTTCTGAGAACATTTGCATATTAAAGAATAATTAATTTTATGCAGAAGTTTCTACACTACACACTATATGAACCCTATCACGTAGAGGGCTAACATGATCTGTGTTTTTTTATTTTTGGCGGTCTGAGCAGAAGTCAGATCCTGCTGCAAAATGAAATCAGCATCTCCTTAATGCTTCTCAGCAGATGGAAACATAAAACGCTGTAAAACTTCCTGGTGGACATCTGGGCTGAGTTTGCACTTGATAAAACTCATTTCACCAGTTAATGACATGGCTCCTCCAATCATCGTTAACAGAAATTACACGCTGGACCTCAGGCAGGTTGGATTCTGCTTATCTTCACCATTCCTCCCGACTCTGAGACCTTCATTTTCAAATGAATGCAAAATTTATTATGACCTGAAAATAGGAGCTTGGAATCCCTTAGCAACAGTCCACCCCATTTTCTCGTTAGACCAGGAATGGCTTAACGAGGAATGTGTCAGTTGTAGTTCACGTTGTGAACACGCCTGATGGCTGTGCCTCCTGAAGTGTTGACTCCCACTGCAGTCAATACCTCGAGAATCTGCCCAAAAACTCCTTTATGGACTTTGTTTCGTAATAATCTTAACTCCATCTAGGGTGCGGCCCTTTTTCTGCCATACCTTTTCTTTCCTTTCAGCTTTCTACTAGTATGTTTGTATACAGCAAAACCTGCTTATTTAGCTGTATTCTTTAGTGGCTTACCCCTCCTGTGAGAGGGAAAACCTCCACAAGAGGCGAGTTTCTGCAGGACAAGACTGTGTGGGCTGCACATACGTAATACTAAAGTGGCAGTGTTATGTATTTTTCAGGCACATTGTGCGATAAAAAGTTGTTATAAAAATACTATCAATGGCGTAAAACAAATTTAACACCTTGAAATTGGGCTGCTGTCTCCTTAAAACCTCCTGCTCTGTTTGAAACTCCGCCTTCAGTCATCACAACTGCACTCCCCTGTAAACTGTTTCCAGCATTTCACTGAAGTAGTTCCTGTAATGAGCTCAGCTGATGCACTGTTCCACCAGGTGTTTGCTACTTGCTGCTGGCTAGTTTGAAGGAGCTGAGAGGCGGAGTGGCAGGGGAGGGCTGCTGTGCGAGGAGGAGGAGCTACGCCCCGCAGGCTGCGCTCGATCCACCCAGGAATTTGCACAGCTCAATGGTTGTGATGGGAGATTTAAGGATTTCTCAAGCATGAATGAAAGAATCAATGCAACATTCCAGGTAAGTTTTTAATGAGGGAAGACATTATAACGTAATCTAAAGTTGAAAAGTGTCAATTTGACATAATACTGCCCCTTTAAGTAACTGACTGATGTTTTTCTACTGAAACATCTTCCTGTAGTAATTTATAAAAAATTAAGAAATATAATTTATCCAGGAAAAAAAAAATCTAATGAGGAAAGACATATATGCAAAAAAAATCCAGGTTTAATTCTCTAAAAATCTTTCAGAGCGGAAAAGCCCAAAATGTTTCGCAACTTGTCTTACTTGAATTTTGCACGCTGAAGTCAGCAGAAATGTTTCTCACGGTGCAGCTGTACAGTCCAAACTCCTCTGCCTCTCTAAGGGTGAACTCCAGGAGATTACTGACAACCAGCCGGCCTGCATCGGGGGACCTGATAAATAAGAGAGAAAAAATACTCTTACCTTCCTCTGCAAACATCGACTCTGGTACAAAGTGAACTGAAGTAAACCAAACAGCTTTAAAAAAGAAGCTTCAAAAGACCAGGATGTTGTGTTGTGCAGGTAGAGAGTGTGGTTGGTGAGTGGCTGGCCATCTTTGCTCCACTGCAGTGTGGTTTCACACTGATCCTCTGATGGGTCCCAGTAGAGCAGAGCAGTGCAGTTCAGTTTCACAACAGAGCCCACACTCCTCCAGAGTTTGGTTGGGTCGCCGTTTGGTTTAAACTCTGGAGCTTTAACACACTGAGACTCTGCAAATACACGCCACAGGTATCAGTGTTCAGTGTGAGAGCTGCCCACAGTAAAGGCTAGATGTAAAGGCAGCTACTGGACGGTAAACACACACCATTAAAGCTATCGGGTTTGAGATAAATATAAACTACATGCTCACCCTTTACTACGAGGCGCACAGTGAATGATGGAGTACTGTTTCCTTGCTGAGTGCAAGTGTAGTTTCCTTGGTCCTCTAAGCGGATGCTGGAGAACTTCAGGAAGGCGTTTCCTTCCTGATTCTGGAGCGGCTGACAGTCCTTCTGCCAGGTCCACAGGGATCGGGGGAGACTCTGAGGCTGAAGTGTCTGCAGAGGACACTGCAGTTCATATGAAGGCCCTAAATAAACCACCTGCTCCTTAAACCTGCTCTCCTCCACACAGGTCTGACCTACAAAAAGAAACAGAGTTACACACTTCTAGTAAAGATCAAGTCTCTAGTTTATAAACACTTTATTATTTTGACCATGACTGCTGAACAATTAAAAAGTTATTTTTTAACTTTTAGATCAAAATAAACAATCTTCTAATCAGTTGATTGAACTATAAAAAATACATGATGAATTAATGCTCTTTAAAGTTAGTGGTTAAGTGTCTCTGTTTGTTTCCAGTAGACCTTTCAGTCACTGATATCCATTTTCCCAACTCTCCCTCTGAAAAAATTAAAACAAAAGCTGTTTTGAGAGATGAGCAACTCTCATTTTGGCCTTCATGTGACAGCCTATGCTTAACACCTGCACCAGCAGGTGGAGGAGCAGCTCTCACACCTAAGAATACTATACCTCATGTCTAGGATGGTAGTGGCATTATCATGCTGAGGGTCTGTTTTGTTTCAGCAGAACTGGTGCATTCAGTTCTTCAACTTTGTCTCAAACTAGCTGCTAAATCTCCTGTTGCAACTCTCTGTTTTCCCATAGGGGCTGTCATCCCAAACAAGGGGATGGCCTTCCCAAAGTCTGAACGCCTCTGAAAATATGTGAACTGTGATTAATTTGAGCTTGTTGTGTGTATTTTATTGACTTTGTGTGAATTTGAGTAAATTACCCTTAAAACTCAAACTATAGTGTACTCAAATCCTGTTTTCTGAATACTTTAAAAGCATACAATTAATATGGAATTCAGGGCTATGATTAATCTGAAATGTCTGGTCACATATGGGCTTATTGTGACTTTAAAATAAATAAATAACCTTCCCTGATTAAAATCCCCTGACTGGTTCTTTTACTATGTCCAAATGTCACTAGATCATCCGGGTTCAAAGTCCAGATTTAACGCTGTTGCCAGGCAACGACATGTGACTCCATGACAAATATGACCACATATTTGACCACATGTACACTGACCCTGTACTACAAGCATCACGTAAATCTAAATACATAGGTTATTATTAATAATCAATTTAAGAAAGCTAATTAAAGGTTTAATGATTAATAAAGTAAACACTTTTGTCCATCCTTACCGATGACGATGGCCTTGTTCGATATTCCGCAGACTATTAATAAAGCAGCTAAAAGCAGAGCCATGAGCCAAACTTTCCCCCTCCTCCTCCCTCAAACCGGAAAATAGGCCTCTTCCGTCGCTTTCTTTGCAAACGTCGTTCCCAATAATCTTAAAAATCTCACTTTATTCCCGTTTAGTTTGTCAGAAGTATGCAAGTGGCTACGCAGACGTCAGCTTGCTGTTTCAACAACTGCACCTGGAAGAACCTGAAGCGCCACTCGTGATTGGCTAACTCCGTACCACGTGATGCGCACACCGCTTACCTGTGGTCACAATGCAAATAACCTGCAGTGGCAGAACAGCAGAAACTCACAGAACTGCCCCGTCTGCTTCCAGCGGGGAAAACTGTGATAACAAAGCACTCAGATAGACATTTAACGGCGCGCAGGTGCATTTCCGGTTTCACCTCAGCCTACCTGCTGGTTGGACTGTCCGCAAAATTATTACCTCTGTCAGCAACGTTAATTACGTTTTTATTTGATCCTTTCAGAAAGTTGAAAATGATTCACCTGATTTCTTTTGGGGCATCTGGTAATTTAGGACAGGATAAGAAAAAAAGCATTTCACCAAGTGGTCTTGAAAATTATTTACCAAAGCTGGGATGCCAAAACGTTGTCATCTTTTCTTAGTTAATGTGAACCTTTTATTTGCAGATATTTATATACAGCTCAAGATCTACATTACCTGGAGAGCATCACCAAAGTCAGGGGACATAACTAAAAATGCATCACACATTAGGGGGTGAGTTAAGTCTCCATGGACAAGAGGCAGGCAGCCTGTCTAAGATGTACAACATGGCAACACATAGAAAAGAAATTACCACACATCAACATTCAGACCTAAGGGAAATCTGGAGGGACCTTTAAAGTGACCAATAAGCCTAATTGTCATGTTATTATCTGAGAAAGCCTGATGAGATATTATAAATCTGTTGTGATTTAACAAAAAAAGTACACAATGTTTATTAAATCACAATATGTGCAAATATTGAACTCATATTCACAGTTGTGATTCTGTGTGGATTAAAAAAAATCTAAACAACAGATTAAATCATGTTCACTCAATTCTTGGTTAACACAAAAACAGTTTAGCTTATGAAAAGAAGAGGTCTGAACAAATAAGACATACATCCCCAACTTGAGTGTTTTTATACTTCTGTATATAGGTATGAGTCCCAATATCTGAAAACGGGAAGTAAGGAGCACTTAATGTGTGAATGCAAACAATACCTGAGGTGCGACTCTTTTTGCAGTATGTCTTACCTGGGAGTTCAAATTTCAAAACACTTCCAGAAACAATTGTTTTAAATGGACAGAAAAGCCATTAAAGAGGAAGAAATTGTAGATATTTTTACATGCAACCCTGCTTGGTTGTGATTTTTAAAACCGTCATATTTTTGAAATTCCCCTTTCATTTTTTTTTCATTTTTTAATCCTTTGAGATCTTTCTCCACATGCAGTGAAGCTGCTGGAACAAGCCAGGCTGCGATGGATTTACACCAGACAAGAACATGCTGCAAGGAAAGTTCATTAAATTAGGAATTAAATATTTTATCCCCGACAAGCATGCGGCACGTTTTTATTTTTAAAGCATGACATTCAACCTAGAAACCAGTGCCTATGTAGGATTTCTCTTTCGGAGGTTCGCAGCCAAGAGGAGCTTGCTCTGTGATGTAATTTCGCCTTGGCATCAGAAAAACTGGCAGTTAAAACATTTCTGAGGCAGATAAAATAAAACATCCAAATGTGGAATCAATGTTGAACAGCCTAAACATTTTCTGTCAAATTCAACATTTTTGTTTTGATTGTTAACAAATGCAGCGGATTTGAATCATGTGTGACATAAATATAATTTTCTTTCCACCCTGACAAACCTTGGCATATGAGCCATTTTTTGTGTTCTGTTGTTTTTGGATTTTGTTCTCTTACATCAGTGTTGTTCTTCCCTCCTCATTTGCTGTTTCCTTGAGTATTAGTTAAGTTTAATAAAGTGATTGTTTATCTGTCCCCAGCCTACAAGTTCTGCTTCATTCCACAGCTATCCTCAATTACCTGATTTCTCACCTGGATCCAGTGACTTTCTCCACACCTTCATTTGTTTACATAACTCACTGGTTTCATTGTTCATGACAGGATCCTCCTGTTTTCATTTGTTTCCTATCATGCATGTTCCTGTTCTCCTCCTGCAGCATCTGTTTTTGATCATACCAAACTCCCGTCTGCATTTTGGTCTGGCTTTAAGCTTAAACATAACAAAAACGTACATTTTTTATCACTGAATATCTTCGTTAAAGTAAATGTTTACAGGCAAAGTAGATTTAAACATCATGCCTCGTGTAACATACCTTAGTTATTCAGTTATTTATCAAGCCAATCATCAGATTATGACCATGCTATTTAGAAATATTATTTAAGAAGCTTTATTATTGCTCAAAGCAAAAATACAGACATAAACAATGTCTCATATACATTCAAATCTCTTATTTTATTCAATTATATAAAATATAATAATGGAAAACATTATTCTTTACATAAACAAACTATCTGAAAAAAAGCAACAAGCATTTTTTTGTTTCGTTTTACAGCTTAAGGCATCATGATAACACAATCAGCAGTCTATGTGCAGCTTAGTATTTTCAGTAGAACACTCATATACTGTATGGCTCAAAATCACAGATCCAACACTAAGCGCTCAGCCAAAACTCAGTAAATAATACCAACAATGTTATAAAAGGCAAGGTCAGTGACATCAGTTACAGTGTACACACACTTCTGTTCAGGGCTCCATTCAACATGGGTATAATTGTTAGTATTTTGGTACTTTTAGTGCTTTAAAGAAACCATGCTTTGTATTTCATAAAATAAAACATGAAATGATTACACAACATACAACTGCAAAGATGAGACACATTAAAATACTCAGCCCATATGTATATATTAACCCGGTGTCGATAGGAGAAAATCCTTGGTTTTAACTGTCCCTGAAATTGCATGTAATCATCACTCAAAACAGATATATCAAATAATCAAAACTCCAAAATTAGTATGAGAACCATGCAAATATCATGTATAAATTTCTGACCTTGTCTATATGGGTCCAACAGTAAGAAAGCTGTCTTTCTGTAAAGCTTTTCAGGACATGGACAAAAACGATGTGTGCAATCCAGGCAGCACTTACTGTGTCAATTCAAATATCACCATTGATCTCTTCAGGATAATTATAAAATGTTTCAAATTGTTCCAGTTTTACACGTAGATGCACAAGGCCACACTTGGGTTGTGTTTTCACAGTTAAATACGTCCCGTCAAGGCGTGCAAACATTGTCAGGCTTGAAATACCTGCAGGAAATGACGTTTGAAGTCATTAGATTTCAATTGTACACTCTGATCCAGAATAATATGCTTCATATTTTAATCTGCTTAAACATCTTCATTACAGACAATAATGAAAAATGTAATGCAACCGAAAAAAAGTGTCACTACTAAAAGAGATGCTCTTCCTCTGCTGCCGAATGACAATATGAGCGATAAAAGATATTTAATAGGTAAATTTTGAAGGGCAAGTTAATAAACTGTAAGGAATATCAAACATTGTGTTCTCGAATTTAAATTTTCACAGAATATTTTAATCTCACTGTTTAAATTGGATTTGCACCTGATGTACACTACGAGAGAGCATAAATCAGAAAATAACTCTGGAGGAGCTTCAGACATGTGGTACTCAGGTGGGAGGATCTGCTGACTGGCTGACCTTTAGTCGTTTACTAAAAAATTAAAAGAAATACATCTACAGTCTGCCTCTAGAGACGTGAACAATTCGCTCTGCTCTGCACCAAACTTTTCAGATTTCTATTTGTAAAATCATTTTAGACGCAGGTATTAATCTGTTTGCCATGTGTTTAGGTGTGTTTTGTTTTTATTAATATTACCCTGAAGCAATGAAACTGAGTTTGGCTGGCCTGGCTTAGTGTACTCTTATCAAACATGGAGAACCAACAAGAATCCAGAGGAACCTGCTAGTTTATATGGACTATTTATTCTTATTCTTATTAAACATGGGGAACCAACATGCAGTTTTTTACATTGACCTTTTTGTCTTTCTCTTGGTTTTGTTGTTTTGTTTGCATTTCCTTCCAATTCATGTAAAGCACTTGTTGCCATTGCTGAAAATGTGCTATATAAATAAAATTACCTTACCTTACTTCAGAAAACATGATAATGTTTTGAGGTCGACAAAATTTTTCATAACTGTTGTGGAATAATAACTTTCAAACACTTAGCAGTAATTCTGTTTGGTAAAGTACAGACAGAAGTCTGAGTCTGAGAAATGCCACTATATTTTTATGTTGCTTGGTTTTAGTGAGGTCTGAAGCATGAATTATCGTACATGTATGTAGTTAGTTATTATCCTGAGATTAAGTCTTCTGAAGTGAACCTAGACAGAAACAGAGACTCACTTTAGTTCCTCTTGAAGTCTTCTGAATTTGTCAGTGAGTCCGTCATTTTTCACATGCATCGGCACAGGCGGGATGAACCAGGATGCAATGAACTTACATATGACAAGAACATGCTGCAAGGAGAGTAGATAAAGTTAGGAATGCAATATCTTTCTCCATCTGTACCATGCAGAATGTGCTTTGTTCCCCAGCTTGTCATTCAGGTTGATAAAATAAAACAATGTCTGGTTTTAGTATTGGTTTCAAAGAAAAGTTTTAAGCTCAGTCAGGATGTAAATGAAAGGTTTTTGCTGTTGACAAGACTTACCTCAAAGAGGATAACAAAAGCAAAGCGCACAGCTAAAATCAGCCAAAACTGATGGGTAATATTAAAGTCAGTGTCTCTGTAGTCTTTGTAGCTGTGAAAAGAAGCACAATGGAAAATATGTGAGCTGACAGAATCATTTTTATTTATTTAAAAAGAAACTTTTAAAAACAATTTGAAAGAAAAACAAACCTGCATGAAGTAGCATAGATTCCATCTGTAATCATTTGGCTTTGGTCAAACTTTACTCTGCTATCAGCCATTGATGCAACGGAGAGGGTGTTGTTGATGTAACCAGACATGCAGCTGAGGCACAAGAACCAAGATGAAGCAAATGTTTTATGGCGA